CGGGCGTGTGGGCGGGCGGGACATAAACCAAATCTTGTCATCAAATTTCCAGGATAACTGCTTACCTGTTCAACTTGAAATTTTTACAAATGCAAGAGCAGACTAGTACCAAGATCTGATTAGGTTAAGGGCATGCTGGGTAAACTATGTGGCGGCCATTTTGAATTTTTCAACAAATCTTGTCATCAAAATTCCAGGAAAACCACTTATCCGTTTCATTCACCTTCAGTGACCTTGAAAAGGTAAAAAAAGTTGATTTTCTAAATTGATATTTTGGATTTAAATTTAGGTCAGCTTAATTACAAAACACCTACTGAGGTCTGAAAAAGTGAAATTTTCAAGGTCGAAAGTCAAGGTCATTAAACTAGGTCACAAATGATGTTATCCAAGTTTCTCAAAGTTTGAGACTTCAAATCAATTCTTGTCATCAAAATTCCAAGAAAACCGCTAACCTGTTCAACTTGAAATTTTTACACATGCAATAGCAGACTAGTGCCAAGATCTGATTAGGTTAAGGGCATGCTGGGTAAACTACGTGGTGGCCATTTTGAATTTTTCAACAAATCTTGTCATCAAAATTCCAGGAAAACCACTTATCCGTTCAACTTGAAATTTTTACAGATGCAAGAACAGACTATTGCCAAGATCTGATTAGGTTTTGGGTATGCTGGCTGAATTACATGGTGGCCATTTTGAATTTTTCAATTTGGCGGCCATTTTGAATTTTTCAACTTGCTCCAAATTGACCAAATTTTTTTTTTAAAAACATCTACAAGTTCTCAGAAGTTCAAATCTGACCTTAGCTTTCAGATTTGACCTTTCGTTGACCTTCAGTGGCCTTGAAAAGGTCAAAAATTTGATTTTCTAAATTGATATTTTGGATTTAAATTTAGGTCAGCTAATTACAAAAGACCTACTGAGGTCTGAAAAAGTGAAATTTTCAAGGTCGAAGGTCATCAAATTAGGTCACAAACAATGTTATCTAAATTTTCCCAAAGTTCAAGACTACAAATAAATTCTTGTCATCAAAATTGCAGGAAAACCGCTAACCTTGTCAACTTTAAATGTTTACAGATGCAAGAGCAGACTAGTGCCATTAGGTCTGATTAGGTTTTGGCCATGCTGGGTAAATTGCATGGTGGCCAGTTTGCTCTTCAAAGTGCGATATTTATCACTGTGTGTCTTGTTAAATCCTCTGTAGATAGGATTCCCGTTTTAAAATATTTTTGTTGAACATTAATATAGAAAAAATCTGTGACTCCTGCTTCAAAAGCTCTCCTATTTTCAAAATGGCCACCATTTTTGTCTCGGGAAATTCCCTTTTGACCCATTTCCTAGCTTTACAAATAATTTTAGGTTTCCTGCATTGTAAAAAGCCATGTCTTTGTAAAGAATAGTTGTATGAAATAATTTTGTTACAAAAAATCGGCAAAAAATTAAATCCGTTTTTTCTTTATTTTTTGTCATTTTAGCCATCGTTCACTTTTGAGCAACACCATGTGAGCCCAGTACCCACGGTACTATTTTTATATTTAAGATTTGACCTTCAATGACCTTTTCAAGGTCAAAAAAGGTTAAAAAGGTCAAAAGGGTATTTTTGCAACTTGCTTCAAATTGACCAATTTTTTTCAAAAGAAGTTATCAGAAGTTCAAATCTGACTTCAATAATGAGCTTCTCAAGGTCAAAAAGGTATTTTTCAACTTGTTTCATATTGACCAATTTTATTTTTCAAAACCGTCTACGAGTTCTCAAAAGTTCAAATCTGAAATAGATTTGACATTCTCAAGGTCAAAATAGATTTGACCTTTAATGATAACACATTTTTCTCCCGAGTCGATTATGTGGGCCGATCCAGTCAGAAATAATCCGAGCAGTGCTAAAAAACTTTTATCATAATTAGAAAGTTAAAACCATCTCTAAGAAAATGCTGTTTTTATTACACCCGAAATCTTTTTTATTTTCATCTAATTTTTCGTCACCGTACAGAAAACTGTAAGCTTACTACAAGAGGGGGAGAAACCCCAGGGTTCAAAGATGACATACGCTTATAATGTAAATCTGTATTGAGATGACATCGTCGCTGATTGGTTTAGCGAGTCGATCGTTGATTGGTTTAAATCAATTTGAAAACGTTGAAAACCGAGATGGAGGGTACGTTTTCGACAAAAGGAGGTGCGCGAAGGAGGAAATCGTATGTCATCAATTGAATTATGGGGTTTTCCCTCCTCTTACTTACTACTGTATTTTTGACGCTGTACGGTGACGCCTGCTTACGCGATGGTTAGGCGTGTCATATATAAATGTTGGGTTGATTTTTCAGTGTCTAGGCCTATTGAAATCTGGCGTTTTCAGTAACCTTGTTGATACAATCAGTCACACAAAACAATTCTTTAAATTACAAGAGGGCATAGGCTTATTGCACAAAAAAACTAAATAATCTGAAATATGCAAATGTCATTCATGTACAATATGTATACTTTTCCATATATTATTGCACATTGGTCTTCTGATTTCTTATTTATTGGGGTTCTAACTAACGAAATAAAACGGTGAAATGGGCTGTAGTCATGGGATGATTTGAAATATCAACCCCACATTTACAGGGGTAACCTAAATAAGACAAGTTATCATCATCGTCTTTTAATTTATCATTGACCTTTTAGGTCTTAACTTTTAAAGTTAATATTTCCATGTATACTTTTTCATAGGGCGTTCCCAACTACCACAAAAGGTGTTGTTTCTATGTCACTGACCTTATATTCACGAATGCAACTAACGGCTGTCGGTTACCTGATTAACCTACTGTTTTATGGGCAATCAATGAATAGCACCTGCCACGATGCCATTCATATCTAAATGAGTTGGTCGTAAAATAGTAGGTTAATCCGGTAACCGACAGGCGTTAGTTGCATTCGCGAATACAAGGTTAGCCGGGAGTCCGATGGAGGCCTTGGAAGATCCAAACACATGTACACTCCCCTCCATAAGTTTGGCAACATTAGCTCCCCCATTGAACTAAGTGTTTAAGCCTCTTTGCGTTTTAATTTTCATTTACTTAACCGGAGATGAAATAACTTATGATATTGATGGAAACGTAACTTGACGTTATTTCCAATACTTCCAAATTTAGGTCAAAAATTGATGATAAATTTGATGAATATTTGAAAATCGTCATTCCCATGTAATCCAATGGGAAATGGAGGGTTCGGGGCAAATCAGAATTCAGGATATGTTTCTTCAGGTTCAACAAAGTTAGAGGGCTTTAAAGTCAAAATCATTTTTAAAAAAAACTCTCCCATTGAAATAACACAGCAGGCGAAAAATTATTTTCAAAAATGACTTTGAAGCGCTGTAACTTTAGTATTCATCAAATAAACTAAACACTTAGTGTACATAAAAGTTAGACAATTCAATTTTCTATATAAAAATATTTTTTGCTGAATCTTTTACTGAAATTCAGTAAAAGATTCAGCAATTCATTTTGCTGAATCTTTTACTGAAATTCAGTAAAAGATTCAGCAAAAAATATTTTATATAGAAAATTGAATTGTCTAACTTTTATGTACACTAAGTGTTTAGTTTATTTGATGAATACTAAAGTTACAGCGCTTCAAAGTCATTTTTGAAAATAATTTTTCGCCTGCTGTGTTATTTCAATGGGAGAGTTTTTTTGAGAAATGATTTTGACTTTAAAGCCCTCTAACTTTGTTGAACCTGAAGAAACATATCATTTTTTGTTAAATAAAGTTAGCAAATTCAATTGACAGCCTAACTCATATTTTTGCAAGGACTCGGATGGATGGATATTCTGCCATATGACTTGCGGCAAACCTATCATTACCCATTGGTTAACATGGGAATGTTGATTTTCAAAAATTCACCAAATTTATCATCAATTATCGACTTATTGTAATTGAGGAAAAAAATTGCGAAAATTTTGGAGGTATTGGAAATAAAGTCAAATTACGTTTCCATCAATAGTATAAGTATTTTCATCGCAGGTTAAGTAAATAAAAAATTAAAGGTAAAGAGGCTTTAACACGCAGTTCAATGGTCGAGATGAGGTTGCCAAACTTATGGAGGGGAGTGTACAGTGAGTATTCTAGTCCTTTAACTTCTGTCCAAGTGCCACAGTGTAATGACCTCGGTGTTACCTTACTTCCTGCGAAAGCTATTTGGATTTTGATATAATAGCTTTCCCACGGAGCATTTGGACAGCTCAATGATCGTGACCTTTGAAATCGAATTAAGTCGATCCGCGGCTTACTTTTGGTCTCTAACTGTGTCTTACATCAGTATCATCAATCCGTGTAAGTATTGGAGCGCTGGAGTACTTCTTTTTCGATCAAGACTTGTAATTGTTAGTCGAGTGAATCGTTTTACTGCCAAATTCCAATATGGCGGTTTCTGCTCGGACATTTTCGTAAATCTCCGGAGGTTGTCCGAACCTAGCTAATTCTCAAAATTCATTTCGTTCGTTGCGTATCTCGCACCTAGCAAACCGCCATATTGGAAATAGGTCTGTAAAACTTTAACTCGATGAACAATTTACAAGTCTTGATCGAAAAAGAAGTACTCCAGCGCTCCAATACTTACACGGATTGATGATACTGATGTAAGACACAGTTAGAGACCAAAAGTAAGCCGCGGATCGACTTAATTCAATTTCAAAGGTCACTATTGATCAGCTGTTCACTTCTCCGTTTGAGAGCCATAAGTTTCAAAATCTAACATGGCTCTCGAAGTGAGTAAGTGTTACCTTCTTCTAAGGCCACTTTATTGGCTAGAGACTCGAGTAACCTCGGAGTCATGAGCTAAAAAGATTTCTAATTAGCAGAATAATAATAACTGCAAATGGAAGGGGGGGAAATAGTGAAAGGATTGTTGAAAATTATGCGAAAACAATCATATTTTACACAGACTCCCTTTTACTTGTTTAGTTTCATTTGCCGAACTGTTGTCATATTTAAATGTCCCACCTAAATAAGGGGCTAGCCAATCAGGAATCAGGATGTACGTCACGTGGTAAAGCTTCTTCATTGACCCTCGTGTTTTTCGTGCATATCGGTGGGTGTGTTTAACTGCTAAGTCCCGGGTATCTACGTAATAAAATGGCCGAAGACAAACCCCAGATGGTTCGAGATGAAACAGTGCAAGTTATTGCTCAGGTAGGTCAAAATCAATGCATGCAATCGTACGGAAATTCACGTTGAATAATGCAGCTTTTATTTTGTTACTGTGTTGTTTATTTTCAATGGCGAAATACCCCTACCTTTTTTATCGCTTTCAAACCCAATCCCTCATATCTCAATCTTCATATCTTTACTACATACGTGTACTGAAATAATCAAAGACCATTATGATATATATTTGAGTTCCTATTGTGCAAACCAAAGGGGAGGAAATTGTGATAATCTATCGAATTAAATTCCAAGATGGCCGACCTTCTTAAATGCCCATGCTAATAATTTGATAGAGACCGGCTATATTTCATTGTCTTGCCACCCGGGGAGTATGTGAAAGACATGTTAATAATGATCTTAAGTTAATAACATTTAATGTTGCTATTTAATATTTCTATTATTGTGAGGTTTCACCACGCAGTATTCCATGTTGGATTAAATGTGAAATAAATGACCCACAAAAAATGAATTTGACAGATTGTCACATATCAACAAGAACAATGGCTTTACAAGTCATTAATATAAAGGCATCATTAATGTGGTAATAGACAGAGTTTTTTGGTATCTTATAAACAACAGGCCGTGATCTTTGTTAGAAATCTACCATCTCTTGCAAGGGTAGGTCATACTCAAAAGTATTATTACACGGAGTGGCTCCAGGACCGACAATTGTCGGTACTGGAGACTGTCCAGGGGTATTTGCTGGGGTACCGACAATTGTCGGCACTCTATCGTCACCTAATAGTGTCAGATAGAGAACCGACAATTGTCGGTACGCAAGTGGCTGCTACGTGTTTTTGCTAGAGAGCCGACAATTTCATAAATAAATTCACTACTTTTAGTTTCATGAATAACTTCATCACTGGTAGTCTAGTGGTTAGCGAGCACGATTCGAGCACACTCTGTCCCGAGTTCGAATCCCGGCAAGACCTACTTTTTTCTTTTGAGGGGGGATAGTGCTTCTTTTGCAGTATGGAATCGTACAGGCATTAACTTGTAGTGAGCCATAATTTATTGTGACAAAAATTGATTCAACTTCCATCAAAATTGTCCTACAAGCTTCAATTAAAAAACATTTTAAAGCTCTTTTCTTGTTCTATCTAATGGGTCGTTATATACAATTAGGAGGGGATGCTTTCGCCCCCGTCGACCTCTACCCTTACTACGCCATGGCACAGGAGAAATATCTCATTTGGAATATATCACTGTTTACTTTGCGTTTCGTAGCTCTCTCATGCGAGATGGAATCGTGGCCATAACTAAGGGAGCCAAATGCAACTTCCATCAAAAATTGTGCTATAAGGTATGAGTACCGTAATCCAACACCAAATTCGAAAATTTCTTAACAATACTTTGCACATATGGCTTTCGTGACCAACTATGAAACGCTTACCCCCCATAGTGTTATATATCAAAATGCACCTGTCCATATAGGGGTTCGATTGACCTACATCAAATTATAGGGAGTCAGGTTACATTTTGAGATATCAGCGTCCGTTTATTGTAACTCGCGTTTGCTACCACTTCCTCAATTCTGATATGACAGGCAAACGCGTAGTAAATATCCTCACGTTCGGAACTATTTTGACCTACATCGCTATTTTCGTAATTCAAATGAAAGTTGAACTCCTCTTTATTTTGATACCAAATAGTGGCATACTAGGTACCCTAGAAGCCAACTATGGGTTATTTAGAACGATACCACAGGTTTTTAAATGGACTATATACCTTTTGGCGGATGGATATGGAACCTCATACCATACGATAAGCTCTAAAAAACATTCTAGCTATTTTCTTCTATCTAATGGGTAGCAAACGCCCCTTCCTTTTTATTGGGTTTTCAACGTTTACTACCATTCCCTGTTACCGGGCTACCATTTTTTGACTGGGTTTGGTAATCCCCGGGTAACCGGGGCTTATGCCCTCCCCGGGTTTTGCACTTGTTCCCAAAATATCCGTATGATATCTGAAATATCCCCCCGCGCATTGCGCATGCGCCAGAAAATTCGACAATCAATATTTGTCGGTCCTCTAGCGTGTAAACACAGCATATCTCCCGTACCGACAATTTATTTGTCGGTCCTCTAGCGTGCCACCACATCAGAGTCTAGAGTACCGACAATTGTCGGTACTCTAGCCTTTACGATTATTACAAGAGCTCGAAGCTGCGCTCCAAGCTTTGCCTCTCCCATCTGGTGACTGATTTGATCCAGGGGTCAATTTCTCATTCAACATCATTTAAGGCATAGATAATGATAGGCCATTCAATGTGGTGAAATTCAGAAAGAGTTAGACAGAATGTTGTACAAAGTACAAACCGAAGGTGGGTGCATTTGAACTGACATTCTGTCAGAGTGTAGAATTTAACCATATTGAATGGCCTACCATTATTTATTTCGATTCAAACATAAAAATGAAAAAATTGTTCAGATATTTGGGAATTGAGGTCAATGAAGTAACCAAACTTGCTGTCATTTTTCGCCATTTCAAGGTGTGACATCACATTCACAATACATAGTCATGTACATTGTACATAGATTCCTAGAAGTAGATTTAATAGATGCACAGGTGGAGAATTAGAGAATGGCTATGCTGCATTCTGTTTGGTTGAAAAACTCAGAGAACAGTCATGTTTGAATAAGTGATAGAATAGATCTTCAAATCAGTTTTTCTCCGATTAACATATAAATTCAGAATAGACAGTTAACTTGTAGATCCTTACAATTGCTTATTACTATCTTTCAAGATAGTTAAGAGGACATTGTGACAAGTTTAATCTCATTGACTTTTGAAACTCGGAACTACCCCATCCTATCTTACATGTAAAGTAGCAGGCGTTTGTGAGAATTATGGCCTGCAAGGAATTGTGATTTACCTGGACATTTATAAGAACAAGATTTATGACCTGATCTTACCAATCCTCAAAGCCACCAAACATATTTTACACTTTACAGAGGGACATCTATAAATAAATTGGTATGTTTTAATATTTTTCATTACATGTTTTTCAGGATTATGCAGCAGCTGATAAAGTTGAGAATGGAGAGTCAACAGAAGCTGCCAAAGCTGCAATGACCAAGGATAACACAATGCTTGTCACAGCTAAGGTATCATCTTTCTTGTTGCATTTTTTGAAAGCCATATTGAGGAAAGTAAGACACAGTGAAAACACAGTGATTATACCCCTGGGTCCTATATTGTGACCAATTTGCCTGCCGGGTAGGGGACGGGTGTCATATATTTATACATTTCCAGGCAAATTATTAGAGGGGATAGATTTCAAATTATCAGGATAACATATTAAAAACAGTCATCATAATAATCACTAAACTCTATTCAAATGTGCTACATTGGTCTTGTTTTTCATTTATGTATCACAGATAGATTAATGACAGAAAAGATAAATGTTAATAAGAAAAGGATAAACTTGAGGGGTGAAGGGCTATTGATATTTGGGCCAACATTATGCCTTGGACATTCAATGTCATTATTTTATTTTGATGGAAGGAAACTGAATTTAAGTGCAAGAAGAATTTTCCATATTAGATGTTCGATGATGTCATTAATTTAGCTTTAGTATATGATGATATACTAGAAACAATTACATTTGTAGTGCTCCCCAGGATTTGTTGTTTGGAGGATTTTCTTACTTTTTAGTACAACATATTAGTTTTTGTGCAATATTTTACGATTTTGTAACTTTTTGTGCAACATTTTTGAATTTTCTTATTTGAAACATTTGAGGAGGTGCATCTAATTGCATTGAGGAGCATTTTGGTTTTACAAAGTACATGGAGGTGCCGCCCCTCAGAGATTTCAATCTGGGGAGAGCACTGATTTGTCAACAAATAGGTAGCTTATCAGAATAGTCATTTGGTTTACTTAAATTTACTTTTGACATCTGAATGTTATCTAGGAGGGAGAAGCTCTTCTTGAGGCTTCAGGAAAACCTGACCCCGATGCAAAGACACGTGGCGAACAGAAGAAGATTGACGAGATTCAAGCTGAAGAAGCTGAGGCTGAAGAACCAACTCCTCAGAAGCCAAGGATCTCTAAAGATACCACGATGAAGGCAACAGCCAATGTAAGTTGTCTTGCAAGTTCGTTCCATGGACAGGGACATATAGTTTAAGCCAATTTTTACTGTGATTGATGATATACATTTGTGATTAATTGTGAAACTATTTTAATTTGCAATGTGAACAAGCATGTGGTGACACATTAATCCCTTGTTTTTGTTCTGATATATTTTGATATCTGCATGTTCTCCAGGAAGCTGAAGCTTTGCTTGAGGCTGCAGGAAAACCTGACCCCGATGCAAAGACACGTGGCGAACAGAAGAAGATTGAAGAGATTCAAGCTGAGGAAGCTGAGGCTGAAGAACCAACTCCTAAGAAGCCAAGGATCTCTAAAGATACCACAATGAAGGCAACAGCTAATGTAAGTTGTAAAATGTCATGGAAATTAAAATTTTGCGTTGATATTTTTGCATCTTCTAACTGCCATTTTTATGATAGGGACATATGGTTTAAGCAAATTTTTACTGTGATTGGTGCTACACATTTGTGATTAATTGTGTAACTTTTGTAATTTGCAAGTGTGAAGCATTTGGTGACACTTTTTACAGACACTCCAAGTGAGCACTAGCACAAATCTTGACTGATTATTTTAAAATCCATCAAAATCTTGACACTCCGTGGGCTTCATTTCGCAGGTCGCAATTGCGATGATACGCGATTTAAACCCATATGGGTTGGGAGGAAACGTGATAAAAAAATGATTGATAAAAAGCTTCAATTATTGTACGAGTCAGCTGAAACAATTTACAAAGGCTACAAACAAAGTTAACAGTCATTACTTTGAATTCTTTGTGCATCAATCTAAACTAAGATGCATCACCATGGCAGTTCAACCTTAAAGCAAAGAAATAATTATTAGCTCAGAGTTATCAATTCAAGAAAACGCAATTATTATATTGTAACAATGTGTGGCATCAAACAAAAATGATGCAAGGTTATGTTGATGGCAGTTTCAGTTTCACTTTTCAAAATCAGATTCAGAAATAAAAATGCCTGGTAAAAAACGACTTAACTTAAACCATCTAATAAACCCACCCGCCATGAATAGGATCAGCGTTTCACATAACATGCACGCTGTGCTATCGTCAATAAATTTTTCTTGTACTATTGGAATCCCGAAAAACTTCAAAACTGCTGACTTTTTCGACTTAAATGCCGACTCAATTTTTCACTTTCTTTTTTACATCCACCATACTGATAATGCACTCTACCTGAAATCGCGAGTCCGCAATGGTCACTTTTTATTGCAAAGAGTAATCAAGGTACAAGGTAAGCGAAAATATTTTGATTTTTATGTCACTACCAAAAAGTGGTGACATATTTTTATGGTCTCCATTTTTTTGTGATGGCGATCGGCGGATGGCAGTTGGTGCTTGGCGGTTGGTGATCGGCATTTTCCAATAATTTCCCTTGTTTTTGTTCTGACATGTTTTAACATCTGCTATTCTCCAGGAAGCTGAAGCTTTGCTTGAGGCTGCAGGCAAACCTGACCCAAATGCAAAGACACGTGGCGAACAGAAGAAGATTGAAGAGATTCAAGCTGAGGAAGCTGAGGCTGAAGAACCAACTCCCAAGAAGCCAAGGATCTCTAAAGATACCACAATGAAGGCAACGGCAAGTGTAAGTGTAGATACATTTAATCTCACCTACTATATTTTCACATCTTTTATAAAATATCAATACTATTGGAAAAATGAAAGTTATTCTAGTATATTTCAAAACATCACTATACTTGCTGTCTATTAGAGAATTTTTTTTTCACTGATTTTTATTCAGACATTAGTAGACTGCATTCTTTCCAGATATTCACTATTTTCTTAAAATGTGGATATATTTCAGTCCTTTTTTGGTCCTTTTTACCTGGAGTCTTTCATGTGTATGCAATACAAATTGTACTCTCTTGTTTTGCAGTTTACATTGCTTTTGACCTTGACCTAAATTACAAACTTTTGATATGACATTTTCCTATATTATATAGAGTATAAAGTTTTCCCAATTGTATTTCAGGAAGCGAAAGGAATTCTTGGCAAAGAGAAGCTTGGAGATACTAGACAAGGAACAAAAGCCAAAAGAGAGAGGGGAACCCCCAAGAGGGCAAGCACCATGGCAAAAACTATGGCTGAAGGTACATTATATATGAAAATGAACATTGTTTATTTAATATGTTAAATTCAAAATAAAAAAGTTCACATTGTATATGATTGATAATCAAAAAATAGGTATGCTATTTAAAAAATGCAGAGGGGCTTCTAAACCTGGTTAAGTTTTACGCTTGCTAAGAAATCTTTCCATAAGATATTTATCTCTCTGTGTCTCTTGTTTAAAATTAACCAGCCCTTTGACAACAGTACTCAGTGTATTACTATGGTAACATTACAGGTCAAGCATTGTTAGCCAATGAGAAAGAACTGTCACCAGACGCTAGCTCAGGACGTAGAACCAGGTCACAAACACGAAGTCCCGCTAAACCTGCCATTAAAAGAGCAGGAACCATGCAACAAACTGCCAAGGTAACATATCTCTGACTGTTGATTTATTTGCTTCTCTTATACCTTAATTTCATGCTTATGAATATATACCTTTCCAAATGTATGGGAAACACTTAATTTTCCTCTTCAAATTTGAAACATATTTGGCTTGCCTTGTAATTTGTTACAACACCAAAGTATTGATATTCTTATTAACAAGGTTAAATCAATTGATAAATATGTAGACTATTACCTATCAAAATGAAGTACATGTACTTAAAGCTTGGGTTATTTTGTGCTATCTTTCTCACTAATATCTTGAAATAACTAATGTATGGACTGATTTCTAGTATTGATTCAGATTCGTGAGTATGAAAATGTGCACATTTCACATTTTCTGAGTTAGGCCTAACCTAGATGCAATGTTTACAAAGTGTTAACATATTTGCAGGAAGGTAAGGAATACCTCAAGAGGAGCAGAAAAGGAAAGAAAGCTGCGGCTCCTGTAGAGGAGGAAGAGAGCATTGATGATAAGAAAGAAGCTGAGGAAAATAATGTAGAAGATACAAAAGACACAGCCAAGGAAGGAGAACCAAATGGAGATGCAGAAAAAATAGAAGAAAAAACTGAAGTTGAGGCAAGTTAGACCTCGACGAGGGTCTCCACAGAAACTTGGATCTTCTTCACTCATCTTCAGCATTGAAGCGACTTTAGCAGGTAGACTTAAAGAATTTTGGTTCATCAACTGAAAATTTAAGATACCAAGAGACATAATGGGAGTAAATCAGTGTATAGGGATTAATTGTAATACATGTAATGACTGCATGAGAGATTTAGCATTGGACCAAGGAATACATACGTGTATAAAGTTTTCTTGTTTTGATTATCAGACAGTTGTACATTTTAAAATGGATATTCAATATCACTGGAAAGTTGAATACTTTGTAGTTAATGGATATTTAATATCGATAGCAAGTTTAATACTGTGTAGTACATGTACTAAAGTGTGAAAGGGTATATTTTAGAAATTAAGAGACAAATATGTACTTTTGATTATCTAGTGGATCTGAAGTTATGTGTGCGTGTGTGTGTGTTAAAATAATGAACCCACCATGGATAGTAAGAGAGAGATTATCTTAAATAATGCATTCATAAACTATAAATATCAAAAGATATCATACATATATGTTATACATTATACATCTCACATATAAACTTTCATGTATTGAAATCAGTTTCTACATGGTTGTTACCTACATTTCATCTAAAATTAATTTTACAATTTAACTTATACACCGGTGTTTACAAACAGACAATGTAATTGACGTGTAGATAACTCTAAGAGCAATGAGAAAACAATGTAAGTAGCTGCTTATTATGCTTCAAAATGTCTTCAGAATCATGATTTGTACAGTTTGTTCACATTTCCATGTTTCCATTTCTTCGAAAGATTGCAATGAGTCAGTGATTCTCCATGGTTTTTGTTAGTTGCTATGGAGATGTAGGGTATACAAGTTAAGTGCAACTCAATGTTCTAGTTTTTGGCAATTTAAAAAAAAAAAAAATTTTAGTTTTAATTTCTGTTTTTATTGTTGGATTTCCCAAAATAAAAGTGTTGTATTATTTCTTTTAATTAACTTATGAAAATAATATTTGGAGCCTCAGAACTATGATATGGATAATATAAACGAGAATCCAGCAGAGAGCAACCATTTATAATGACTTTAGTACAACATTTTTAATATGACACCACCATAAAATGTTAGTTCTCACATAATATGTATAGATCATTTTAACATGGCGTTTTATAATTTGACATACTCATTATCATATGACTGTCATCAATCACGATATATCACAAATAGTTGACAATTTAGCAATACAAAATTGCATAATGAATGTTTAATATTATCTTATGAAATTATTTGTAGTAATAGTATTATATATTTATTAATTGTTGTTTAATTATTATCAATGTCCACATCGCAGATACATTTTACAACTCTGTAGTATGTTTAGTAATAAATTCAAATGTATTTTAATGATATTTGTATGGATAATATCTATGTATACACAGATTTATCATATAGAGTTTTAGAGGGCTATAATTGGTATTGTGATCATTTTGTACTTGAATAACATGTTTTTTGTTTTGTGATTACATATACATAATATAATACTATATCTTTTATGGTATATAGAAATAAACTTAAATTTTGTTTATTTATTTCGTGTTCAGTAGAAGTGTAGCCATTAAATCACCTTTTGGTGACCTTGACCTGGGATTATGACCTTAGCCTTCCAAGGGGATCTGTCAGGGGTTCGTGAAACCTCAAATTTTCACACCTACTGTTTGTATGTAACTAAAGAGAGGAACTATATGGAGGGTTCTGTCCTACAAACCATTTTGTGTGAAATCAGTTGCATTTTCAGAAACATACGATGCTTATACATGTTTGTGTCGAAAAGATCAGAATTTATGCTATCATCTTGAGAAATCAATGAAAAAGAAAATCCTGACCTTTCTAACCGGAACTGTAGCCATCTTGTTACCGAAACAGATTCAGAGTAATCGAGTACAGTACCAGTTTAGTGCCAAAGAAGCTTGAAAGTACTATTTCTAACATTTGAGTTTACAAGATGGTGGAGAAATTAACATTCTTTAATTTGCTGTCTGCCCTTTGCCTTTTTGCCCCAATCTTTGAAACTACATCTGTTTTTTACATACTTCCGTCATCATTTTGAAACATTGTGTAAATGTTATGAAATCTGCATTATCTGTAACAGATAGCCAATAGTGAAAAAAGAGTTCGCAAAAATAGTTACAGATTGTGAACAGTACAAAATTCAAGCCAAAAGTCAAACATTCCATCTTTGCCAGTACAGTATTTATTGAACAAAGTGCTTCTGAACAGTACAGAACTGCCTTCTAATAATTTTAAATAACTATTTAATTACATAATATTGATATATTTCAATGGAGTTTTAAATATTTTATATGACACTTTACTGTAAAGCTAGAAGATTTTGCATGCAATATGTTTTTGTGAGCATGTCATTAAAATTGCGCTGAATAAAATATATGTGAAAGTAGATCTGCAAATGTTAGACATTTACAAACATCACTAGATAAATTAGATTAAATCAGTGAGCCACTTTCATAAATAATTGTGAATTTCCATTCCAATTTACGAGACCCAATCTTATTGATTACTGCATGGAAAGTTCTAAACAAAGTGGCTGTGTGAATCGTGATGGTGAAATATGAATGTCCAACTTTTTGGGAAATTGACAAAAAATCACTTCAACAGTGCAAAATTTTCTTAAACAGCAATTTTACAATAAGACATTATTTCATGAAAGAAGCAAAAACTCAATGGGTTTTAATCGAATAATATCTAATTAATAGAAGCAATGTTCCTATAAATTATACTATACTAAACATGCTATATCACAGAATTGCTCAAATAATGGATAACTAATATGTTATATTTATGTTCATCACAGGTCCATATAATTCCATAATGTCCTATTCTTTAATAAATAATGGCCAAAGCACAGTTGTGTATTGAATGAAGTTCCCTCTTTCTAGATCTCTCTAGATCTAAAAATGCCATGCCATGTTGTTGGACGGACTTCAAGTTCATGCCTATGGTGAAACATGTGAAGTCAGTGTCACTATTAACATCAATGTCCTTATTAACGTTGATGTCCTTGTAAGCCAATAAGTTCTAGAACTTAATCAACAGGTCATCTGCAATTACATTTGTAGTTCATACATTTATACATGTTTACAACATTGGAAAATGAATTATTTATGCAAACAAGCAGGTTGAAATGGGGATAAGTTGAGTTCCCGATGTGACAATCTGTGATGTTTCATGTAGCTTTTTCTGAGAAATTGAAATGAATTGGTTAAAAGTGTCACTAAAAATGTCATATATGTATTAAAGTAAAAAATGTATATGCAAAAATAATGCTAAGCATTGAATCAAATTACTCTTATATTAGATAGATCTTCATACAACTATGCTTTCAGTATAGAGTGATATGACTTTTACCTGTTTTCTTGCCTTTGTTCTGACTGCTTGTTGGGGGTTGAGGAGCTGTTCTGTTTGGGACTGGCTGAACTGAAGACTGCCATGCATTTGTGTTGCCTTGCCATGCACCAGTGCTAGCTTGCAATGCACTTTTATTGTCCTGCCATGCACCCATGTTGCCTTGGGGACGGGGTACCCCCATGGAATGCTGTTGATGTTGCTGACCAATCTGAGGCATGGAGCCAAATGGCGGATTAGACGTAAAGGGAGTTTGTTTGCCATTGAATTGTTGATTGGAATGTAAATGTGTGTTCCCAAATGATGCCGTATTCGAACTGAAAGAACCTGGTAGCCTATTTGCAAAATTCATTTGAACACTTGAAGGCCTTACTTGCATTGGCTTAGAACTAAAAGGATCAGCTGATTTTGCAGCAAAGGGTTGAAATGTGTCCGAAGCAACAGATCCAAATGGATCTGATTTGTTTGAAAAGTTTAATGGGTCAGCTGTTGTATTCATAAGGGAACCAAATGGATCTTGTTTAGTTGAACATGTTTCATTGGTTGAGTGTCTTCCTATATTTTGATGCTGATTCGCGGGAGTCAGCAAGTTGCTGGGCAGATTTGTATTCACCCCTTTGCTGCCAGTTCCTTGCTTGTCTGAGGGAAGGCCAGATAAATCCAAAAATGGATCTTTAGACTTTTTGTTATCAACAGAGGTCACTCTTGTTGACATTTGTTCAAATGGGTCAAACTTTGATGATTTTAATGACTCTTCAAATGGATCAGATTTTAGTGACTGTTCAAATGGATCAGATATTAATGGTTGACCAAGTCGATCAGATTTTGATGACTGGGCAAATGAATCAGATTTTGATGCTTGACCAAATGGATCAGATTTTGATGACTGGGCAAATGGATCAGATTTTGATGGTTGACAAAATGGATCAGATTGTAATGACTGTTCAAATGGATCAGATTTTGATGACTGGGCAAATGGATCAGATTTTGATGACTGGGCAAATGGATCAGAATTTGATGGTTGACCGAATGGATCAGATTTTGATGGTTGGCCAAATGGATAATGTTTAGATATGTTGTTCTCATTATTAGGTTTGAATGAGTCCATGCCAAAATGGTCAGATTTGTAGTCAGATGAATCAAAAGGATCCCAAGTTGAGGACTCTTTATGGGAAGATGTTGGTACAGTGGGAGTGTTAGATGGTATATTAGGGGCAGGTCTGCTTGGTTTCACCTTGGTCTGATCTGTTTTCTCTGTGTGCCATTTAGTTGTACTCCCTACAAAAATAGGAAAAAAACATTTCATAGTGCTAATGTGTTAAATTGTATCTATTTATACATAAAAACAGTAGAAATGTTGGTATTTTCCAGAATTCTTTTCACTCATACAACAAGGCACAGACGTGAACAATATCGTACCTAAAACACAGCATTGTGGTCTTGTTGACCAAGAAAGCAAGATGGCCGCATAAAAGTTATTCAGCTCTAGAACTTATCACTGTGTAACATATGTAAAAAATTTGAACGGTTTGGCTGAAAATCTGTAGACAAGTCTTGAAAGTGAAGATTTTAGGACAGAAAATCCAAAATGGCCACCTTAAAATTTACCCAGAATGCCCAAAAACTAATCAGTTCTTGACGTTGATATGTAGAAACATCCCTGAAAATTTCAGATGAATCCCTCAAAAGATTTGGCTGGAAACCTGTAGACAAGTCTTGAAAGTAAAGATTTTAGGACGGAAAATCCAAAATGGTCACCTTAAAATTTACCCAGAATGCCCAAAAACTAAAAAGTTCTTGACGTTGATATGTAGAAACATCCCTGAAAATTACAGATGAATCCCTCAAATGGTTTGGCTGAAAACCTGTAGACAAGTCTTGAAAGTGAAGATTTTAGGACGGAAAATCCAAAATGGCCACCTTAAGATTTACCCAGAATGCCCAAAAACTAATCAGTTCTTGACGTTGATATGTAGAAACATCCCTGAAAATTTCAGATGAATCCCTCAAATGGTTTGGCTGGAAACCTGTAGACAAGTCTTAAAAGTGACGATTTTAGGACAGAAAATCCAAAATGGCCACCTTAAGATTTACCCAGAATGCCCAAAAACTAATCAGTTCTTGACGTTGATATGTAGAAACATCCCTAAAAATTTCAGATGAATCCCTCAGATGGTTTGGCTGGAAACCTGTAGACAAGTCTTGAAAGTGAAGATTTTAGGACAGAAAAACCAAAATGGCCACCTTAAGATTTACCCAAAATGCCCAAAAACTAATCAGTTCTTGACGTTGATATGTAGAAACATCCCTGAAAATTTCAGATGAATCCCTCAAATGGTTTGGCTGGAAACCTGTAGACAAGCTGAAAAGTGAGACGCCGCCTGCCCGCCGCCCGCCCGTCAAGCTGACTACAATATCGTACCTTTTGTTAGGTACGATAAAAAGCAAAATTCAAATAACTTAAGAGAAGTAGACTTTCTTTGATTTTATTCAAAATATACATTATAAAAAAGCAAAATTCAAAGACTTTCTTTGATTTTATTCAAAATATACATTATACATTAGGTAAAGGCCATCCAATGAAAATCTGAGTAAGACTTAAAAGTTGAAAAGAAATATTTCATGTCAAATATAAAATTTTCTGGGTGGAGTAAGAGCTTCTTAATCTACCAACGCTATACCTGATTGTAGCGGTGTATTAGAATTGACAGGCTCCGAGACAGGCCGGGTTGTGATCTGTGTATTGTTAGATTGTGTGTCCGAATGGTATGTTGCTGGACGTCCTAGAAACCTATGAGGGTTCCGTCTCAATTCAATCAATGGGTCCTAATAATATCAAATGAATAGAACATTTATACATATACATGTAGTCTAACTATGGTATATTTCCTGGAAAAAATTGGTTGGTTGGGGCATTTATACAACAAATGAAATAACCAATTCATTTCAATATTAGTTCAATGAAAACAATACTGGCAATAATATACCTATAAAAATGCAGATACATTGCGACATTGTATATTCATTTTTAAATCATTTCATATGTCACTTATTTATTAATTTTACTCATTTATTTCTTACCTTTCCAGTGATGCTAATGATCTTTGCCTGGAGGTCATAGATGTAGGATTGCAGATGTTCCATACTGAAAATGTGTAAATTGTATTAAAGGCTAATTTGAATAAAGTGACACTTCTGCATGATTTGCTGATGTGTGCTTTAGTTTCCTTTTCTTAAAACAGATACTGTATCCTGGTCTGATTTCTAATATACTCACTCAGAAATCTGAGAATTACCAGCTATGAAAGGCCAGTGTTTATTGTACCAGCCCAATTTTTCATGAGGCCTGTCCTGAGAGGGTAGGGGAACATCAACCAGTGTATACAATAAATTCTTCTATTGATGTGAAAAACATTTGTCATATCCGTTTTAATAAAGCACAGGGTGAACAATATCGTATCTAAAACATAGCAGTGTGGGCTTGTTGACCCAGAAATCAAGATGGCCTCCGAAGCAAGTCCATTAAGTTCATAAATCAAGATTTATCTAAAAACCTCCAAAATGGCGGCTGGAATGCAAGATGGCCACCGAAAAGTTAATCAGTTCTAGAACTTCTTACCATGTAACTTGTGTAAAATCTGAAATAAATTCTAAAGTGGTTTTCCTGGAATTGCGATGACAAGATTTATCTATCTAAAAACTTCGAAAATGGCCGCCAGAATGCAAGATGGCTGCCGAAAAGTTAATTAGCTCTAGAACTTCTTACCATGTTATAACATGTGTAAAAATTTGAAATAAATTCTTCAAGTGGTTTTCCTGGAATAACTATGATAGGCCCGTAGCCAGGATTTGCCAAGGGGGGTTCAGTTTTCAAAATTTTCCAGGGGGGTTCACATTTGACAATTTTGTCCAAAATATGGCTAAAATCACTTGAGAAGTGCTCAAAATGGTGAAAAACTGCATGATTTTGAAAGAATTTTTGGCCAGGGGGGGGGATCGCCCAAACTCTGCGAACCCCCCCCCCCCCATGGCTACGGGCCAGGATGACAAGATTAATCTAAAGACGTCCAAGATGGGAGCCAGAATGCAAGATGGCCACCGAGTTAATCAGTTCTAGAACTTCTTATCTTGTAACATGTGTAAAAATTTGAAGTAATTCCGCAGAGTGGTTTTCCTGGAATCGTGATGACAAAAAAAGTGAGACGCAGCCAGCTGCCCGCTAAGCTGACGACAATATCGTACCTTTTTTTAGGTACGATAAAAATCTTAAACATTCATACTTGAAATCAGAGAAATCTATAAATTCAAAAAAGTTTCATAATTATTTCAAAATGTTTCCCTTTGTTATAAATTTAAGTATTTTCAGGAAAACTACTCCATGAGAAAAATGCCACTCTTGATTCTCAGAGCGTTAATGGTATCAAATCTGAAGTCTAATACAATCCCTATAGACACATAGGAGTGTTATATGATGTTTGACAAGTAATTTATAACACCTTACAAGTGCTATGTGATAAATGACCCCCAATCTGACGAGTTTACTGTACTGTTTATAATATATGTTATCTATAGGATATCTTGAAGAGTACATTTCAAAATGTTTTCATTTACATAAAAGCACTTACTTGAAGTGGAATAAATATTTTAAAATGCAAACATATACAGTTTGTAGTTTACCAGTTGAAAGTATGCAAAATTGGAAATTTTGAAATTTGAACCCCAGAAAATAAAGAATGTACAGAATAAAGATGCAGTGATTACCTTGCCTTTTTTATACATTCCACCCATTCTTGACATGCTTGTAGAGTCTGTCCACTGAATATATGCTTCCGTTCTGGTCCATCCCCAGCAAATACTGAAGAATGTTATAAAACAGCAAATATGAATTCAATTATAATCTGCACAGTAACGATCTATAACAAATTATAATACTTAAAGAATATGTAGGTAGATATTTATTAAGTAATTTATCAAAGGGAAAATGTGATTTTTGCCCATAACATGTATTATAATTGATCACATAGAAATGTTTATATCTTACACAATGAAAACGCAAATGGAGCGTCAGCATTCTGTTCTATCTTGACTGTATATCTCTCCAGGACAAATGCAAACTGAGGCTGAAAAGAGAGAAATTGAACATTTTTTTATTTTCTCTCTAAACCTTAAAAAGAAACAATTTTGTTCTTTATCAAAAAGGTCATAAAAGTATAGGAATTATATACAAGAACAACAACAATACTACTAAAGACATGTACATTAAAATCATCCAGGAAATTAGTAGGCAGAGTTTTGAGATAGGCACTGAATGACTTCAACTAAAGGTTGGATCAAAGTCTTAATACATTTTGAGAGACTTTAAGAATGCTGTCTAAACATTGCTTATTAAGGTTCTATTCATGATAAAATGTGACATTGATTTTTACATAATATACAGTCTATGTATCCCTTGCAATTCATGTACACGGTATTTACAATGCACATGTATGCGTAAGATTGTATTATACTGACATTGTACAATCAATGTTTAGGTATAGTACTTGGCCTCTTACAAAGCGACCATTTTGGTCCACTCTGTAATCACAACAGATAGACCAGAAATTAAGCTTTTGATCTTACCTCTGAATCTGATAGCATTCCTTTATCATTTAATCTATAGTAGAATAGCATGTTCCCTTGCAGTCTTACCCATTTCTGTCTATAGCCTATAAGAAAAATTAAACTATTTTCAATTGGAACTGTCAAACATTTTGATTGTAAATATCTTATTCATTACAAATAATTGTATTCATCGAAAATCTATGGATCATCCACATGTATATGTACAGTATACAACCTTATATTTGTTAAGAGAATGTATCAAATAGGAATTATATAGAGTTCCTTCTTTTGAAGAAAAAAGTTTGTACAACATTCATGCATATCATGTCTTGACCTTTATTTAAAAGTTTGGATGATTTGCAATTTTTGCAAAGACTGGTTTGAATCTGATGTTGGTGTCAAGCAAGGGTGCATTCTCTCTCCAACTCTCTTTTCAATTGTGATGACAGACCAAAAAAACAGCCTGATGAAAACTAATCTCAGTGTTAATCTTGATAAGGAGCGTATTCCATGTTTGCTATTCGCGGATGACATTGTTCTCTTGGGAAAAGATGAATATGATTTGAAAATTCTTCTCCAAACTGTGAATTTAAATGGGGCTTTAAATTCAGCAGAAAAAAACCCAAAAATTATGGTGATAAGAAAGCAAATTGACCGTAAAAAAAGAAACTCACATCATATTAATAATTTTGTGAAGGAAAAGGCACGTAAAATGTATAATTATACTGTACCTCAGCAACTCTTACAAAACATTGCAATGTCAATCGAATTGAATTTGGAAACACTATATACAAGTCAATGCTCGAACCAGCGATACTTCACAGCTGCTCAATATGGTCTACCTTAAGGAAAGAATCAAATAAAACCCTTAAGTCTATCCAATATAGAGCAGCTCAAGCAGTACTTCAATTATAATGCAAACCTGCCCACTCAGCCTTGATTTGAGATCTTTGTTGAAGCCCTATACGTGGGATTTATGAAAACGTTTTATTGATTATTTTATGTGCAAAGCCTCAAGCCAGTAAGACTTTCCTCTCACACAAAATATTATGCACACTCAGGAAGTGCTTTGAACAAGATAATGAAGCTTCATGGAAGTATGTATCTAATGTTAAAGGGCCGTTAAAGAACTACTGTGTAAGCGAGGTCTTGATGATGTAATTTATAGAAGAGATTGTGATTGGTATGATAACTATTTGCCTATTTGCAAGGATGAATACGTTAATGAGTTTCACTCTAGTATTAAGGAGTACAGCTCCTTAGAATTTTATTCAAAAATCAAGAAACACACTTATTTAGAGAACTACTTGAAACAAAAAATGACTTTTAAGGATCAAAACTCAAATTCTTAGCAAGATGTAACAAATTTGCTCTATACTGTATGCCCGGTAATTTTCGCGCGCTACTATATTTCGCACTTTTCGCAAGTTTTGGAAAATTCGCAAAATATAATAGTCACAAAATTCCTACAGTTCTAATTCGCGAAATTCCAAGGAAATTCCAGGGGATTTCAATGTTGACATTATTTTTGTTCAGTGGCAGAACGAAGAAATTTTCGTTTTTGATCGCAATATTTGCTTATATAAACCGTCAAATTCTTCCATTTATTGGTACTTCCAGGCCAATTCCGGGCCAGACAAACGGGGAAACCCCTTTTAAATCCAACCGCCATCTTGACAATTGTGGATTCTACACGAAAAGAATGCTAAAATACCAAGAAATCTATTGAAAGTATCTTAAGTGTAAGGGGCGAAGATAATTCTCCCAAGTTGTAATCGTAAAGGCAAAAGATTGGGCTCAGTCCAGGACTATAGTCCTGGCACGGGATAAGTACAGTTCGGGACATAAATAAATGACAGGTGGATTTGCTGAAGTGAGAATTTCCCATGTTAAAAATAAGAGAATTTTCAAGAGGCCATACATCAGTGGATGAGATAATACAAAATGTGAAATATACAAATTTTAAGGGATATGTATCTAGACAATATTGGAAATTATGGGCTTTCAGACGACCATAATTAGGAAATGGTGATCGAAAATCGACCTGTCATTTATTTTTGTCCCCAACTGCACATGGAATTGTAATATGTGACACTTACTTTCCTTTTGAGTTTTGTAGCTTAGGCGACCTTCCTTATCAGCTTTTCTTGACTTCGCAAAAAATCGTATATCCTTTTCATTAAATCGCATATTTTAATAATACTCCAGTAAAATCGTTGTAAATTTTCACAAATAAATGAAAAAATTGCAACACAGAGTAAACCTAGTGTAATCAATAGCCATTGGTAAGTAAAACAACATATCAAAAATCTAGAAAAATCTAAGTGGTGGAAGACCTTAAAATCACCATTTATACCCCTTGGGATAATTTCATGAGGGGGTAATATGATAATCATTAATAATTTCTGTTACATAACTCAAATCACTATAACATTTTCAGGGATCAGGCGCCTATATATAGTGAGTTGTCACGACAATTTTGAAATTGATTGGTCAATTGGTTACCATAGCAACGCAATTTCATTGCTCAAAATCTTAAATATTTCAGGTAAATCTGAAGCTTCTTTTAATAACAGATGTTGCCATTTCTCTTCAAATCATTTGGAAATGAACATTAAACTACCCTAAAAACATATTTGAGGAGTGTTTAATAAGATAAGATGATAAATGTGATAAATTATATGATATCTTTGACCCTGAACTCTATTCTATTAGGTGACTACCTCTCTATCTACTCAAAAGTTGGCGTGGCACTTTTCAGTGATAATGTCCTAAAACAGTTATTTTTACAAAATCAGTCAAAGATATATTTATAGGGCTCATGGATACGGATGTTATTCTTTAATATGGTGAGTCTTTACATGATTGGTCAAGGGGTTGCCATAGTAACACAGAGCATAATAAACGCAAATAGTGTAGTGCATAATGTTCTGAAAAAACGTATAACATAGAATGTGATTCAACCCCCAGTGTATATGGTGTCCTTCAATACCAAGAACATGTCATCCAATAGTCTAATATGGTAGAACCTGAGACTATAGAATAGTTCAGAAAAGCCTAAGTTGGTTCAGCCTCCAGAGTATATAGATGATACAGCCTCAAGAGTATAAAATTAATGCAGTCTCAAGAATCTAATATGATACAGCCTCAAGTAGTATATGTATTCAGCATCCAGAGTCCAAGATGATATAACATTCAGAATCTAAGATTGCTATAGTAGTCAGAGCCTAGAATCAGTACAGCCTCCATAAGTCTAAGATGGTATAGCCTCCAGACCCTTAGATGGTACAGCCTCCAGATATAACATGGGATCAGTCTCCAGAGGCTATGATTGCTATAGCATTCAGAGCCTAGGATGGGTACAGCCTCCATGAGTCTAAGATGGTACAGCCTCCATGAGTCTGAGATGGTACAGCCTCCAGATATAACATGGAATCAGTCTCCAGAGTCTAAGATGATACAGCTTCAGAGGCTATGATTGCTATAGCATCCAGAGGCTAAGATAGGCACAGTTTCCACGAGTCTAAGATGGTACAGCTTCCAGATATAGCATGGGTTCAGTCTCCAGAGCCCAAGATGGTAGATCCTTCAGCCTATGATAAGTACAGCCTCCAAGAGTCTAACATGTACAGCCTCCAACCCTTAGATGGTACAGCCTCTCGATATAACATAGGACCAGTTTCCAGAATCTAAGATGGTACAGCCTTCAGAGCCTAAAATGGTTCAGCCTCCAAAGTTGAAAATGGTATAGCCTACGACTAATATTAACAATTAGAGTCTAATATGGCCTCAGGAGTTTAATGGGTACATCTACTTCTATAATGGCTACAACCTTCAATTCCGAGAGTCTAAGATGACCCATCCTCTATAATTTAAAATTGATACAGCCCATAGCGTCTAATATGGTACAACATCCAGAGTATAATATGAATTCAACCTCCAGAGACCAATATGGCATAGCTTCAGAGTTTAATTTGGATTCAGCCTCTAGGGCCAAAGATAGTACAGCCACAATAGTCTATGATTTCTATGAAAGTCAAGAGTCAAAGATAGGTACAGCCTCCAAGAGTCTAAGATAGTACAACCTACAAGAGTCTGAGATGGTATAGCCTCCAAGAGCCTAATATGGAATAGCCTCCATAGTCTACAATGGGTACAGCCTCCTAGAGACTAGGATGATATCGCCTCCAGAGTCTTCAATGGGTATAGTCTCCAGAGTCAAAAATGGTATAGCCTCCAGAACCTTTGATGAGTTCTTGGAACAGCCTTCGAGAGAAGATGGTACATCTTCCAGATGCAGAGTTAACAATGGGTACGGCCTCCAAGAGTCTACAATGAGTATAGCCTCCAGAGCTTCTAGTGTTTAATGGGTACAGCATCCATAATCTAGGATTGATACAGCCTATATAGTCTAAGTTGATAAATCTTCTAGAGTCTAAGATGTCAAGAATAACAATTTTGCCACATATAACATAAATATGTGATTAATAAATAGATATAAGATGGTACAGCCTCTAGAGTCTTAGAGGTTGTAGACTCTAGTGTTTAATGGGTACATCCTCCAAAGTCTACAATGGGTAGAATATCCATAATCTAAGATTGATACAGCGTACAGGGTCTAAGTTGGTATATCTTCTTGAGTCTAAGATGTCAAGAATCACCATTTTGTCACATATAACACCAATCTGTGATTAATTAATAGGTCAGGAAATGCTTAGACAGATGGGCGGGCAGACGAACAAACAGTGCAGTAATTCAAGAAACAGCATTATTAGTTGTGTTACCATAGCAAACGCATATCAATATTATCCAAACCTGTATTTGTTAAAAAAGATCATACACTAAAACAGTTATTAAGGATGAATGTAATAAACAATTAAGATTAACAAGGATTGCCTGAAATGACCTCTACCCACGATTCACATTCACATACAATATGTTGTGTTACTATGGCAACCAATTGACAAAAGATATTTGGACTCACCATTCCAGATAATTACATATGTATTAATGACCCTTGTAAATATGATTCTGTCAACATGAAATTATTTGGAATTGTAATAACAACAAAAAGTGCCACGCCCACTTTGTGGTAAATTGAGCAGTAGTTATCAAACATGAGCCAAATATGTCATCCTATTAACCTATTTATCATGTTATCTTGTTGTAAATTCCTTCAATATGTATAACGCTCAAGTTTGTGTTCCTTTTGAAAAATTAAAAATGACAAACTACGATCTGTTTGTAGGGAAACGGTAGATTTATCCTTAATATTTACAATATTTTGCAATTAAGTTATGTTGCCATGGTAACCAATTGACCAATCAAGATCAGTCTTTTCATGACAACTAACTATATATGGATGCATAATCCCTGAAAATTTGAATGTGATTGGAGGCACCCAACAGAAGATATAAATGCTTAACACAGTACCCCCTCATAAAATAAGACCAGGGGGTACAAATAGTGATTTTTACATGTCTTCCACTACTTAGATTTTTCTAGATTTTTGATATGTCTTTAAACTCATCAATATGCATTTGTTGCACTAGGTTTAATAAGTGTTGCAATTTTTTCATTTATTTTTCGTGTTTTTACTGGAGTATAATATGAAAACTCTATCTAGGATACTAGGAGCGACTTAAAAAGTGAGATACTTCAAATTTAATTTGTTGTATTTTATAAAAATGACGTCACGCCAAACGACTGACGGACGATCTTGTCGTAAAATATATTCTTTGAAAAAGCGAACGTTCCTTTCATCTGCCTTTGATTTTCTTTGTTCGACACTGGTTCGACAACGCCTCAACATTCAAATGACCATGAAATTAGAAAAAACATCCACAAAAAATATTGGAAAGATTGAAAAAGATTATCTAATTAATTAATTTATAAAATGGTTCTTTTGTATTGATATCATTTGCCAATAAATATACGGATAATATTGCAATACAAATCATTAGTTGTTCATAAATTAACTACAGTTAAAATGGCGGCCGGCCCGATAGCCGAAAGAAATCAAGGTACACTATTATTCGTGATTTCTATATTATTCATTCAATAGATGAGTTAGATAATTGCAAGACGGATACAATATAATCATGGGTTGCCGCTTGTGTGTTTATGTAGATCGTATACGATGATAAATAGGTTTATACTCCGTTTATAAAAAAAATGTGCTCTTATTTTTGGTCTTCGAAAATATGAACAGGCAGATCTAAACGTTATTCAAACGTTTTTGAACTTGGCTATGTATAGAGATGAATTATATATTATACAGTCCATTTCACTTAGGTTGTTCACCAATACACAAAACTTGAAAAATAAGCAGTCAAAAGGTCCAGTATCAAATGGAAAATCCATTTACGTTTTACATGCAAAATGTTTGTATATTTCAGCTACCCCCATAAATGTGGGGTCGAATTGGCGTTTTTTCTTATATTTTATCATTCTTGTGCCAATTCTCCCCCACACTTGAAACCTATTCCTTATCGTGTATCTCGGAGGAATTTCAAAGCAAGTTGAAAGAAAGTTGAAATTATTGATAAATAATTAGGTATTACTCACGTTTTTACGATATTCGTTTCCACAAATGATTCTTCATCAATATGATACTATTTGTAGCCTCAAGTATTTAGTCTTTTATCGAAGATTTATTACGGATAACAAGATAATTTTTCCATTTTTAATTTTTGAGCATGCGCAGTAGCGTATTACATATCGAAATGTGTAACAAAACGAAAAACGAAATCACAAATAATCGAAAAGTAAAATGGAGGGAATATTTGAAATTATCAAAAGCAAATACAAATTTACCCCTGCCTTGCATATTTTTGACATGGCCATTTTCTGTAAATATCACAAGGTAATTTCGTTTTGCCATCAAAAGTTTTACATTTACCCAGCTTCAGACCGGAACTCAGTAATCCCACAATGCAGTAGAAACTAGTTCAGATTTCAAAAATCTCACAAAAATTGGAGGCTCACACATTAATCTGAATAGTTGCCGATACATAGCATCATTTACATACATTAATCATTAATAACTTCGGGGAAGGTGTTTTGTCAAAAAAGTCAAGAGAAGAGGTAAGGAAACTGCCTATTTATGTTTGGATTTTCTACTTGAATTACCAAGGTACCCAGGTACACGATAAGGAATGGGTTTTAAGTGTGGGGGAGAATTGGCACTAGAATATTAAAAAATAAGAAAAAACGCCAATTCGACCCCATATTTATGGGGGTAATTTCAGCCAAATCACAAGCAATCCAAAAAACAATATTTTTTGTGTAAAATATGAATGTATTTGTCTATTTGATACTGAACTGTGGCCTTTTGATTGCTTTTGGTGTAACATGTAAGTGAAATAGACTGTAATAGGTTGCATTTAAAATATGCATGTATTTTCCATAGACTATCACACTTGTAATGTTCCTTTTAATGTTTATTTTTTAACTTTGATTGAAGCACATCCTACTTCCAGTTTCAAGGCAGAATGAGAACATTTTGTTTTCTTTTGTGAGTTTCTATTGCTGTTCTGGCCAAGGAGAATGCCATGTATTACCCCATGCAAATCTGCTTCTAATAATAAATTCAGAGACACCCCCTTCTAAAGTGTTTGGTGTAATGGAACTTAAAAATGTGTTTGATAGAGGTCCAGCATTTCTTAAAGGAAAATTGACAATTGCAGGAGTACAATGTATTGCATTACTTTAATGTAAAAAGGTCTGTTGCATTTACTATAGATCTTCCTTTCATGAAGATTTTTTATTATAATATATGATAATTATTTCTTATAATTGCAGATGCCACTGTGTATGTTGGAGGTCTTGATGACAAGGTATCAGAAGCTATATTATGGGAGCTGTTCTTACAGGCAGGACCTGTTGGTGAGTGTACAAGGATCCCTCTTCTGAAACATTATATGTCTAGCTATGATAAAGTGTAGACAGTTCAGTTGGAAGTAATCTTTTTGAGTAAGAACTGTTCCTTACTAATTATGGTGTCATTGTTGAAGCATAAGCATGATTTTAAAGTTATATGCTTTTGTCATTTAATTCCAGTGAATGTCCATATGCCTAAAGACCGTGTGACTCAGTCTCATCAAGGATATGGCTTTGTTGAGTTCCTTGGTGAAGAAGATGCAGATTATGCCATAAAAATCATGAATATGATAAAATTATATGGAAAACCAGTTCGTGTAAATAAGGTATGTGTAGTCTGTAAGTTGAACATACCAGTAGGTCATTTTTACTATTGTGTAGGGGTCGGTGCAGCTTTGAAACAAGGGGAGCACTCACTTGAGAATTAGAAAACAGGCCTGCTGCCTGAAAACACTTTATACTGAGCATGATTGTGTCTGTCTACAAAGAATTATTTTGGCCATTGTTGAAGGTGTTTCATATACACAGTTCTCTCTCTGCTGTTTTTTATGTTCTTTATTACATGTATGATTATTAATCCATGTTCGCAATTCCAATTGCAGGCATCAGCTCATCAGAAAAATCTTGATGTCGGAGCAAATATATTTATTGGAAATCTCGATCCTGAAGTGGATGAAAAATTACTGTATGACACATTTAGCGCCTTTGGTGTGATATTACAAACTCCAAAAGTAAGTTCAACTTTTTGTCAAAGCAACAATTTGATGGTGAGGTGGTCACATGTATCAAGTCCCATCATTATTTTAATAGATATCTATTGATATTATGAATAAAATTATGTAAGAATCTTCATGTAATATTAATTGTGCGTTGTAAGAGGATACATAAATTCTCATAATTGTTACAGGAAGTGAAGAAATAAACTCACTGTACATATAGTTATTGCTAATATAACATGTATCAAGAAAGAAAACAAATTGGTGCCTTCAAGATAAATTTCAAACACAAAATGATTTCCTTTGCAGATTATGAGAGACCCAGACACTGGTAACAGTAAAGGATTTGCTTTTATTAACTTTGCAAGTTTTGAAACATCAGATGCTGCCATAGAAGCCATGAATGGACAATATTTATGTAACAGAGCTATATCAATCTCATATGCATTTAAAAAAGACAGCAAAGGAGAGAGACACGGGTCCGCTGCAGGTATGCATATTCTCTGTATTTGCTGTGAAATGGCTTATCGAATATTTTATATTTTGTCATTTAATTATTCTAGATCTACTGTAAATATACTGTAAGATTCATCACAATTCTGACCACAATTGATTGAAGAATTCATATGTCAATTTATAAATAAACCAGGATGGGATACTTTGCCATATACAAAACATCAGTTTTGGTTTCACATTTTCTCAAAGTCACTTATGTCCAGAGCTAGTTATGGTTTCCATCAATTTTTAAGTGTTCAGATTGTACACGTAGATGTAGGGAATGTATAATATGACTGTTACATCACAATATAACCGTTTTATTTTAGAGAGGTTACTTGCTGCGCAGAATCCATTATCTCAGGCTGACAGACCCCATCAGCTGTTTGCAGATGCTCCTCCTGCACATCAACCCCCAGGCATTGGTGCTGCACCTCCCCCTCCACCACCCATGGGCCAGGGACCCCCAGGCATGGGAGCATCAGGTCCACCCCCAGGCATGTCTCTTTGATATCTTTATACTCAATCTATGTTATGTTTGCTAAATAATTGATTTCTATAAATTATATCTCTTTTATAACTTCACAATTAAGTTTTAATTTATTGATTATGTGTCACCAGTATGTTTTGTAGTTTCTAATATTTTTCAGATCACATTTTCTAGTTATTAATGTAATATTTGTAGTGTATACATCACGCCTAACCATCGACAAGGTACAGTCACGTGACCGTGACAAAATATGCCGTAGTACACTTTTGATGTACTATGTCACTTTTAACTGATTTTAAGCAAAGACTATGATGTAGGTTTGATGCAGGTTTTCAAAAATAAATTTGAGGAATACAAAAAGGATTTCCTGTTTGATTTCGCGTGTATTCGATTTCAAAGACATTTATTTTTCTAATTACGTTAAAAGATCTTCGAGCAGTGCTCGATTTTTTTCGTTGTACGTCTACCCATACAATTGTTCGGTTGGAAAAATGTTGTTTTTTACACATTTCCTTTGATAATTTTCTCCCCTGACGTCTCAGAGTGTCAAATATTTTAATGAGAATGTGTTTCTCTAAACTGCACAATTAAAGACGGGTTAAGATTTAATAAATATTCATACATTTGGTATAATTTAAAAAATCAGAAATGTACGTTGTCAACTCACAGTGTATGTTGTCCCTGTAATTGAAATTCATGAGTTATAATATTAAACATTGCAATGATTTAATTTCAAAATGCATTAAGGGTTTTATGCGTAACAAGTGATGTTCAACAAACATGCTCCTGTATCCCTAGTACAGATACACAGGTAAACGTCATTTTTTCGTTGAATGCTATTTTATTTTATGAAAGTGTTAATATGGTGATTAATATGTGACCATGGCGTGATATCTTCCGACCTTTTTGGCCACTCGGCGTCGGTACGTTACGTTTTGTTTAGTTGCACTTTTATGAATTTTAATAATCTCAAGGAGTTCATGGAGAGATCTATACTAGCTAATCCAAGATGACTTTCAAAATTTATGCTATAGGGTGTCCCGAAAGTATGGGCCCCCTAGGCAGACATATACCAATGTCTCCATAGTATGTGTCATATATCATTTTAAAGCTCATCCAAAGTTATATTAATTTGCCGAGTATCATGGTTCAACTCACAAATGGAAAAAAGTTACAGGAATACAAAAGTTAGTGTTTGGCCAAAATTAAAGTCAGTTTTACACCAAAACAATAGTCGGTGTGTCTCCTTAGCCGCCATGTTAACAGCAGCAATACTTTCCATATATGACCTTAAACAGGCTTCAAATAGGGATATGGCGTTTCGTAATCCTCATGAAACCTTTTTAAGGCATAAGAAGAGTTTCCTTGGAGTATCTACCCTAAACGTAAACGTCATCTTTTTAGACCTCAATAGCCATCCTATCTTCGAGAATGGTATCCATATTTTCTGTCACATTCAGGTCAGGGCTGTTTCCAGGATACTGAAATGAACTATCTTTTTGGCAAAACGCTAATTTTTGAAATGCCTGTTACTTTTTACCATTTGAACCATCATATTTGGCAAATCAATGTAACTTTGGATAAGCTTAAAAATGATATATGACACATACTATGGAGACATTGGTATATGTCTGCCTAGGGAGGGGGGCATACTTTGGGACACTGTATATCTGGAAAGTGCAGAAGTTCAAAAGCCAGGTATGGAACACAAAAAAAGAATTAGTAACATTGACATTTAATCATATCAATGACAATTTTATGGATTAACGGAAAAAATATTAGGGTAAATATATCTGATATGCCTATTAAATATTATTACTTTATTATCAAATATGTTCCTTCTATTACACGTACTGTACATTATAGCATTTCATTCACTGTAAAATTAACTGTGAATTGAGATCTGTAAGGCCAATGTGACAACATACATTCGAGTTGACAACATACATTATCTATTTTTCGTAGTAGAATCCAAAGTAAAAATCGGTTTTGCATTAACTCTGAATGCATATTTGTATACTTATCTTAAGTTGTGTTAGTCGTAGTTTGGCTGTTATTTGCATAGCAAAACAAAAATTAGAGAGAATTTTGAGAAATTCAGTCAAGATTTAGAGATCCCTGACGTGCTGGGTAGATCTATAACAAGATATTGAAGTTGCTGAGGATCATTTAAAGTAGATATGCATATTTGCAACTTAATTACAAATCGAATGCAACAACTACCTGATGATGAACTGACACAATATTGATCAAATCAATGCTAGTTCTTTCCTCGCTTCCTCATTCTAGAAAATGGCGATCTAAAATGGTGGAAATGACATTATAAGTACATCAAAAGTGTACTACGGTATATTTTGTCAATGTCACGTGACTGTACCTTGTCGATGGTTAGGCGTGATACATATAAATATAAATGTATGTACATGTTTATGTGTTTTCAGGTGGACCTCCAAACATGCCCCCAATGTCAGGACCACCCCCCATGCCTCCACCAGGGGGGATGATGCCACCCCCTGGGATGCCTCCACCCCCTATGCCTCCCCCGGGGAACTATTTACCTCCTCCACCCATGCCTCCACCAGGTAAATGCTTCTTAGGCCGGTAAAATTGATTACAAGTTAAAGTATTGTAAGCCATTTCTGTCAATGTGTACATGTAAGATATAGATAAATTTTTTTGCTCAGGGCACGGGCTTTCCCTTGAGAGCCAATGTTTAGGGATACTCCAATCCTAAAAAATGTAACCACATATATTTTATCAGATATTTTCAACAAGTGCAAATTCAAAATATTTTGACTAATATTGTACATGTGTATTATATAATTTGTACTTGTTTTGTAGGGAGCATGCCATATCCTCCACCCCCAATGCGTCCTCCCCCACCCCAGCAGCCCCCTCTCCCAAACACCAGCAACAGCAACAGTGGCCAAGACGGCAACCAGAACAACCAACAGTCACAGGGTCCCCCACCCAGGATGCCCCCGCCACCAGGTACAACCTATGATTGTAGAAATACTTAATATCTATGTTTAACTTTGAACCATGTACTTTGAATTGTAATTGGGATAATTGCCAATTTCCCCTTATTTAAAGACAACTTACTTGTCAAAGTTGTTACGCTTGTATTCAGGGAAATATTTATTAAATTATTCATAATATTAATAAATATATGAAATATAAATCAAAGAAAATTCATTGTCTTTTGTTCTTTATAAAGGTATGCCACCCCCGCCAGGGATGCCCCCACCTCCTGGGATGCCTCCAATGCCCCCTCCCCCAGGAATGCGGCCTCCTCCAGGGATGCGACCCCCTCCAGGCTGGAGAGGACCCCCTCCCCCATTTGGTAAGTCATCATTTATACAAACTGATTGCTTCCTGAACTTATTGCTTATATGGTTTTATAAATTGTGATTTTGGAGCATGTTGACATGTTAAACATAATTAATAAGTTAGTTAAAATAGTTTATTACACATATTACATTTTCCTAACAATACAAAAATACAGTAGTATTTATTATTTTCCTCATTAATTTCAGGACCAGGCCGAGGTATGCCTCCCAGGGGTATGCCCCCACCCCCCAGGGGCATGAGACCGCCACCCCCAGGTGGGCCAGGTATGCCACCACCCCCAAGAGGTATGCGACCCCCTCCACCAAGAGGGGGGCCACCACCCCAGTGGTAACAAGGTGGATGGACAATTGTAGATGCATTATGGAAAGGGTGAAGGGCCACTGAGATGAAAGAGACACTTCAACCCCAGGCAGGATCTCAATCTTTTGCAAAGATAAACTTTACTACAGTGAAAGTGGGAAGAAATACCAACATCATAAAACTGTCTCTCACAGTGAGGAGTGAAACAATGTATCATTCCAATTTATTTTCAGTAGAGGCTGACACTTAATTGCAATTGTGAGAGCATGTATATATAGAACATGTATGCCTTCAGTGTCTTGTCATTGATTACATTTTTTATATAATAAATAAAGATTGATACAGAAATAATATGTATTATTCATGTAAATGTATGTGTAATGTATGTAATATTTTCAAAAGCTTTGCATTTTATTTGAATATTAAATGAATTATTTTAGCTTTCTATTTTACAAATATTTGGTTTTCCCTCCAGTTTACTAGTAATTTGAAGGGGGGAAACAAGATGGCTGCCATTTGATGTAAGAAATATCAGAAAAAAATTTGCTTCACTTTTAGTTTTCACATTGTAAGTACAGTGTTCTGCTTCTAATTTTTGAATTGAATCTGACAATTCATCATCCAGGTCATGTATAGAGATTGTAAAATTGAAACAGTAAAGGTGTTCTCAGCTTGATTGGGCAAAATACATTCATTAAGTATTTGGACTCAAAATTTTTTCAATTCTAGCATATATGACTAACAGATACAGCCATCTTTTTACCCCATGCAGGATGTTGCCATCTTTCATCCTAAAAAGTCACACACATTGATGACAATATTTTTCATTAATCATGATACAAATTGATATTTTTGGGCTCTCAGAAGGATAAAATATTAAGTTCCAGACATTTCAGTAATCGATATTTTCTAAGTCGATATCCTGACTCATCATTTCGTAATCTCATTTTGCATGCAAATATACCCAGGGATGGTATTTTTAATGGTACATAATTTACAATTCACACATAGCATTCCAACCAATCTGAACAGAGTATTCATCACATAATGAACAGTGTGTGAAATATCAATAACACATGCAAGGTCACTAGTTAAACAGTTGTCATGGTGATGAGTGGATCTTTCACATTGGATTTGATGACTTGCCAACTTGACCCTTGCAAAAATTTCATTGAAAATGTGTTCTTTTTTCGTTCCTTTTAGATGATTTTAAAGAAAACGATTTGCAATGTGTGAAAAGAATTTAAGCCCAAGACTCAATGCATTGTAGCTGCTTCATTCCACTCAGGCTTTGTTTCCAAAACTTTGCACTCCCGCTGCTCGGTCATGCAAAGGTTTGGAAACCTTCATGGTATGATTCAGCAAACAATGCTCTGAGTCCAGGGCTTAAATCCTTTAACCAATAAAGGGGAAAAAATATGGGGATTAAATGTTTTCAAGTCTGAAGCAAAAAATAATTTGCTTGATTGTGAAACAACTATGAAATGGACATCTTCATGAAAAATGTTGACATTTAATCTGAAATTATTTTAACAGAAAAATAATAAGAATTAATTTAATAACAGAACAAATAATGTCTTGCCTTTGTACATTGCATTGCTTTCTGTATTTCTATATGAGACAAGTACATACAAATTATCACATTCAAAATAGTCAACTAGAAGAATAAACTAGAACAATCAAAGAAGGCCACATCTGGGTATAAAATCTACATTCTATCATGCCAGCTGACATGGTGTCTGTAACTGAAACTTATTAAGTCCACTTATTACATTCAGTTCCATGTTACTTATTTTCATTGGAATGAAAAATTAATACTGAGCATTCATATTTCATTATAAAGTTCCAACACATTTGCTTTGTATAAACATGTCATGTAGTCAAAAGTTTAGAAATCATATACAAAAATAAATAAGGATAATATGTCAAAATTGTGTATTCACAGAAAAACAGACACTAAGTGACAAAACATGTCCATTCCACTATACTGTACATATAATGCTTTGCACTGGTGACAAAAATCACAGTTCTTTAAACATACATTTGGCATGAAATTAAATTTCCATATATTAATTATAATTATGTTCATACACTATTTCCTATCATGCTCAATTTTCATTTTGCTCTGAATTTTTTCGTAGTGTCTTTTGCGTAATCTAGCATCATCTGGCATGGAGCGAATTGTGGGCCATATAATGACTCAAACTGTTGCATCTTCTCTACTAGTTTATCAGCACCATAAGTGTCCACAAACATGAATGGACCTGGAAGAAATGTATAAATAATACTTATAAAGAGGATATAACTACTAAAACAAGCGCTGACAAAAATACACTGGCTATAACAATATGTCATCTCTTAATGTTGGTGACAGAAAAAATAAACAGAAAAGCATTGACACAAAGTAACAAGAAGATGACTCTATTGCTTGAAAATACAGCATTGAATGTCTGCTTGAATCCCTAATATGATTAATCTCCATCTTATTTTTTGACCACTTATCTACTCTGGATTTAATGCATGAATGAAAAGAATTTTGGGCAATTACCTCCTCTCATTGGTGGGAATCCCAGTCCAAACACTGCACCTATGTCCCCATCAGCCTGGAGTTGACAAAAACACATACATGTACATTTATCGCAATGTGAAATACAAATTTAGATGAACGTTGTATTCAAATTATCAAAACTCTTTTATACCGAATGGTAAAAATAAGGTAAAAGTATTAAATTCTATGATGTACTATGCAGACACAAAAGTGCATTAAGTTGTTACAGACAGAAGGACATCATGGGGTATTATGTACTTACAGGTGTATTGAGAATGCCTTCTTGTAAACACAGCACTGCTTCATTCACAAATCTACACACCATTCTAAGTTGGATTTCCTCAACAGAATTTCTGCAACATACAATTTTGAATTAATTCTTTGAAGTTATATCTGACTTTTAATTGTTAGTAATTGTGGCCTTGTTAAATCTAGGTCTGCTATAATAGTTACATAACACAAGGTATTGGCATGCAAAATGTTACCACCTGCCATTTGTTACAGATGCCATTTGTTACAGACGCTGAACCCTGAACACCAACTGCCATCCACAAAAAAGTTGGAGACTATAATAATATGTCACCGCTTGTTGAGGTGACAAAAAATGATGGCAGATAGTCAGAGAATAATGTATTTTTCACTCTCTTTCAAAATCATTTGAACTTTATTGTTTAAGTTTCATGACATAAACAATTTATTTCAACTTACTCAGTCTTTGGTTGTATACGATAGTTCTTAAATATATCTAGACACGCCTCATTTTCCTGTCTCTCCTTGACACCTGCTTGGTAGAGGTACACCCCCTTGCCAGACTTACGACCTGCAAAAGTTATTCAATGTAACTACAGTATCACACCTGCATTCCACCTCCATAGGATTTTGGGCACAAGTACAATTGTTTCTGATTCTTACGATACAAATGCATCAAAGTAGAAGTAGGATCGGGTATTTGCACTTCAGTGCTATAAAAAGCTTTGTCAACCCAGAAGATTTCATTTTAAGATTTAATACATGTACAAAAGTATGTTTAAACCTGTTTCATTGCACCTTTCATGCAACCTTCACTTAAGTTGACTTCTAGGTGAGTGAGACAAAAAATCTGGCCTTGTGTAAGGAGCAACTCCAGGCCCAATATTCCAATGCAGTATACTATAGAAAGTTATACACTGATTATACAATACAGTGAAACCTGTCTAAAGAGAACATTGCTTACATTGCCAATATCAGTCAAATTGAGAGGGGTTAGCATAAGCATGGAAATCAATTGTTCAATCTAAAATGTTTACTTAGGATGATTTTCACAAAAACAGGTTTTTCTATAAATGATTCAAATATATTTTTATCTCGGGCTTCTACCTGCCAAAATAAAATAAAAATCCTAAAAAGCCAAGAGCAAATCCTGACAAGGAAGGTTTTAGTATCGATCACCTAGCGGTACAGGCCATGGTTTTATTTTTATTGACAAAATCATATTTTTTCGGAAATCATAAAATGTAGGCAAATAACATTTTAGAGGTTGACAGTTTACATGGTTTAACATCTAACATACACCACTCTAACATACTTTGTAAATTTTCTCCATCTTGGGAATAGACACAAACCCTTGTGTCACCCACTCATTGTATTATGTATATTGTATGTGTTTTGTGAAATAAACAAATTGAAACTGAAAGTTTCATTTTGTTAAATCATGTTTTTGAGGGTAATTTTACTAGTTCTGCATTTGAAATGACTAAAGTGTTGTTTTGAGTTGTAAGTAGAAGCTAAGAAGAGATTTTTTCTGCCATTTTATTAAATCTTTAAGTTTATCAATTTGTCATTTCAAATTTAATAAGAATGCTCGAATCCTACATGTATGTTAAGGCTCCAGTATTGAATCAATAGCTATAGAACGAAAAATTTGTATTTCATCATTAGAATAAAACATACAATTAAACAAAATGAAAGCATTCAACTCAGTCAAGAGTTGTTTTTCAAAATCTCAAAGTGCCAATAGCAGATAAGATGAGATAAGGATGTGGTAACAAGCCGAGAGAATGACAGTCATATAATTCTACAGGAAACAATTATCACTGTCACATTTTAAATTACAATAAACGGTAAAAAACAAATATTCAGTTTGATATTCACCAGTCACGTGTACAGCTAGTGTCACTTCAAGTCAATACTAGTTTCGCTTATTATTTTTTATTCATTTGCAAGACATAGACCAACTAGAAAATCCCATGGAACAAAACATAATTTATTAGATACTAGAGGTGTCAAACTGACCCGAAGTCGACCTAAATATTGGGTTGAAGTCTCGGGTCAGGTCACAAACAACTACTGTACTTACCACTTTCAGGTCAGGTCAGAACACTTGAGGAACATCATTCAGTTACATGTAGGACATGGACCAATCAGTGAGGAATATGACAGTGAAATAATAACATAAATTATCGTAAAATGTTTTATATTCCCAGCAAAAATTTTTAACTTCCAGCTGGCCTATTTCTTGTATATGTATTAATTAAGAACTGAAAATAATTTATGGGTCTTACCGAATGATTTCATGCTAAGTTTCTATCATTTTCCCTTTATCAAAGCATAACATGCAGTAATGCAGGCTTAAAATGCGCCATGTATTCACTTAGATGGATCAACAATTATATTAAGTCAAATTCATTTTTCTGTTTTCTTCTGATCCGATCCGAAATTACTTGACTTGCAAACTTTTTTTCTGACCCAACCCGACAAGAAAAATATCTGACCCACGACACCTCTATTAATTACCTCATCAGAAATAACCAGGAAATAGTAGAGAAGTATTGTCTCTTTTTGGCAAAATCTACACCCATGATTTGACGTGATTATTAAATTTTATCTTGAGCAGAAGTCTCGTGAACATGCAACATCAGAAAGAAGTTTCCTGAGAAATGCTGGCCATTTTAAATTCATCATTTCTTCTTGACCAGATTCCTATGCCAACAAGACATCACCAAATAAAATCCAGGTTAGTGAGACAAAAATCTGGCCTTATGTGAGGAACAACTGAACCTCAAATATCCAAGTGCAGTATACCAAACATACTGACGATAAGATACAATAAAACCTGTCTGAAGAGAACATTGCTGATATTGGCCAATTTATCAGTCAAATTGAGAGCGGTGAACATAATCATGGAAATCAATTGTATTCACAATCTAAAATGTTTGCTTTGGAAGATGATTACACAAACAGGTTTTTCTATAAATGATTCAAGTACATGTTTATCTCAGACTCCTACCTCTTACCAAAATAAAATAAAAATCCTAATAAAAAGCCAAGAAAAAATCCTGACCATGAAGGTTTAAGTATGACTTGGAAGGGTTCACTGAAGAGACATTTAGTCTTAGATCCGTACCTAAGAATCCTTGAGCTACCATATCATTAAGTACTTGTGGATTTGAGCCTCCAAATCTCTCCCCAAACACTTTAGCGAGATCTTCAGCAACATGAGCAGCAACATCGACACCTACTTCATCTAGCAGTGTGGCAACTCCCACTGGGAAACCATAGCCCTTAGATGCCTTGTCAAGCTTCTTGGGGGACTCTCCTTCCTGCATTGAAATTATCAAATACATTTTCATGATTTGAATTTAAAGAGGATGTATCTGAACTGATCCTCATTTCACATCTAGTGCTATCATAAATCCAATCACTTTTAATCTTATTGATCAGGGCTGCCACAATATTTTCGAATCAAAATTTCTTGACTTTTTCCTAATTCAAGAATAAAAATTCCTTGACCAAATGTGTCATTTTGATCAACAAAAAATTAAAGGAAAAAAGCCAACTCACTCAGATGGATGTCCAATTTTCAATAATTTCACTCACTTTTCACTGAGCTTTCTTTCGTTTCAACAATTTTAGTCATTTTTGAAGAAATTCTGAATTTTCTGATTTTTCTAAACCTCTTGGTTCATGCTCATATCATGCATAGGAATTTGTAATCTTGCATCAAGTTTCTAGTCCAACATATTTGCACTTCGAAATAGAATGAAGTGTGGAATGAACAGGGACTTCTAATACTACAAGATTATAAATTCCTATGTTCACATATCTTAACATATAATAGCATACATCCTCCAAAAGGCTCAATAAAATGTGAGGTATAAATCAGAACAAAACTCATAATAAAGTTAAGATCAAGGTTTTTGACATGATGAGCCAGAATAGAAAGGTGGAGCCTGACCTGTAATAGTCTGATGATTTCTCCAAGAGTTGGTGCTAATATTCTGGTGGTGTAGAAACCTGGTCCATCTTTCACTGTGATCACAACCTTGCCTTGCTTCAAGCCTACAGCTACAGCAGCAGCTAAGCACAGAAAACAATCACAACACAATTATTAAGCAAAACAGTATTCATTTCAATGTATCATTTACCATTTAAATGAAATATCTCACAAAAGATCTGTGGTATGTTATCGATTGGTGAAGTTATTAAAGATTCAAAGTGCACAATTTGTCACAAATGTGTAAATGCTCTCAAATGATAAATGTGGTGACAGAATTGACAGAAATATGAACACAATATATTGTAAAAATCTTTAGTCTTCCTCAAATAAAGTTTGTACTTTGTGGATTTTTAGAAAATAGAGAAATATTCTATAACCGAGACATTTTTTGTTAAGGTAAAGGTTGCTTGCTAGATCTGATACTACCTTTAATGCAAGACTCTTAAATGATGTCATTGTTGAACTGACCTGCAGTATCCTGTGATGTCTTGTCTGTGGTAATGATCTCTAGCAATTGCATCTTGTCCACTGGAGAGAAATAATGCATCCCAATTACCTGAAATACAAACAAAACAATTAGTCAAGCATAGCTGTAGGCACCTGGGGTTCGGTGGGTTTGGACAAAACCCCAGTCAGGATTTCCCCAAAAATTTATTTTGTGGAAAAAATCACAGCAATAAGCAGAAATATTGATTTACTGTGCAATTTGAAAACTTGATATGATCAATAAATAAGGTTGTATTTGTTATGGTGAACACTAGAGCCCTAGCTAATTTGTTAAAAAACATGTCATAGTAAAGTTTTACACTTCTCTCCAAAAGTTTGGCGACCATAGCCATGGGGTGGGATTGTGTAATTTTGGAAGACCCCAGAGCATGACATTTTAGATTTAGAAATATCAATTATTTCGCAGAATTAATTTTTTTCTTAAAAGCTACTTCTTCTTGGACAAAATAAAACATCTCAGGCAATGGCTAAATCAACCAGAACAACGGCAACGCCAAAGCGTAGCGAATCCCATCGAACAGCCATGGATGGCATTTTTACAAACAAAGTATATAGCAAAAATGGCAGCCATTTTTCAAAATGGCTGCCTTCTACCAAAAGTGTCATTAGACCATGTGCCATGCTTTTAGTATTCACATACCAAATATGAACAAAATCGCTCTACTACTTTTCAAGTTATAGTAAAATATGTTAAAATGGCGGCCATTTTTCAAAATGGCCACCTTCTACCAAAAGTGCCATTAGACAGTGTGCCGTGCTTATAGTATTCACATACCAAATATGAACAAAATCGCTTCACTACTTTTCGAGTTATAGTAAAATACGCTAAAATGGCGGCCATTTTTCAAAAATTTTTTCAAAATGGCCGCCTTCTACCAAAAGTGTCATAGGACAGTGTGTCATGCTTATAGTATTCACATACCAAATATGAACAAAATCACTCCACTACTTTTCGAGTTATAGTAAAATATATTAAAATGGTGGCCATTTTTCAAAATGGCCGCCATTTTTCAAAATGGCCGCCTTCTATCAAAAGTGTCTTTAAGCAGTGTGCAATGTTTATAGTATTCACATCACAAATATGAACAAAATCGCTCCACTACTTTTCAAGTTACAGCAAAAATCGTAAAATAACGAGTAAAGGCCGCCATTTTTCAAGATGGCTGCCATGTGCTTCTTTAATATCTACATTTCTAGCTTTATTAATGTCCTATATAATTTTTTTACATCTCAAACATATTGCTATTACAGTTTTACATATTGCACCTAAATTACTGTAAATTTGGCACTAAAGTGGCCGCCATTTTGAAATGAGCGGCCATTTTGAAAATCGGCTTTCGAGCAGAACTTCTACCCCCATAGGGTATATGTGTACAAAATATGAACAAAATCGGGCCAACGGTATTTGAGTTATTGCCCGGACGGACGGACGGACAGACGTACGTACGGACGGACGGACGGACGGAGGCGTACCCTATATCCCTCCGAACTTCGTTCGATGGGATAATAAATATTTTATAGGAATTTTGTTTTAAGCTAGTTCTGGTCCAATACGAAGACACAGACGTCCTATACTTCAAATGATCATTTTTGTATAAGAGAGTTCTGTCCAGTTGTTAAAAAATTAAAACAGAAAACGATATTTTGGAGTAAGACGTCTGCGTCATTTTCAACCAGAACAACGGCAACGCCAAAGCGTAGCGAATCCCATCGAACAGCCATGGATGGCATTTTTACAAACAAAGTATATAGTAAAAATGGCAGGCATTTTTCAAAATGGCCGCCTTCTACCAAAAGTGTCATTAGACCATTTGCCATGCTTTTAGTATTCACATACCAAATATGAACAAAATCGCTCCACTACCTTTCGAGTTATAGTGAAATACGTTAAAATGGCGGCCATTTTGAAAAATGGACGCCTTCTACCAAAAGTGTCATTAGACAGTGTGCCATCCTTATAGTATTCACATACCAAATATGAACAAAATCGCTCCACTACTTTTCCAGTTATAGTAAAATAGGTTAAAATGGTGGCCATTTTTCAAAATGGCAGCCATTTTTTAAAATGGCCACCTTCTACCAAAAGTGTCTTTAGACAGTCTGCAATGTTTATAGTATTCACATACCAAATATGAACAAAATCGCTCCACTACTTTTCGAGTTACAGCAAAAATCGTAAAATAACGAGTAAAGGCCGCCATTTTTCAAGATGGCTGCCATGTGCTTCTTTAATATCTACATTTCTAACTTTATTAATGTCCTATATAATTTTTTTACATCTAAAACATATTGCTATTACAGTTTTACATATTGCACCTAAATTACTGTAAATTCGGCACTAAAATGGCCGCCATTTTGAAATGAGCGGCCATTTTGAAAATCAGCTTTCGAGCAGAACTTCTACCCCCATAGGGTATATGTGTACAAAATATGAACAAAATCGGGTCAACGGTATTTGAGTTATTGCCCGTACGGACGGATGGACGGACGGACGGAGGCGTTCCCTATATCCCTCCGAACTTTGTTCGATGGGATAATAATTTCATGTTTGATCCTAACCGTTACTCCAGAATATTAATCGTTGTTAATATTCACAAATAAATGAAAAAATTGCACAACAGAGTAAACCTAGTGTATAAATAGCCATTGGTAAGTAAGACAACACATCAAAAATCTAGATTTGAGGATCGCGGAGATCGAAACTAAGTCCACATAAGACCACGGTCTCTCCAGAAAGATAGAGATGGGGAGGACGTGGCTTACCACGATCTCAATAGGCAGGAAAGCATCAAAACGCTGGACCTAATCTTTGGTGTCAAAGGACATCATGTGAAGAAATAAGATGTGTCCTCCACAAAGTTGATAATTGTGTTCGTTTCTGTGATAAACCAGGGGAAAGAGATAATAAGGACACTGACTAATGTGGCAGTCCATGAAGGCGACCCTATTTATGTTTGGAGCAGTATTACAGAAGTTGCACCCCCTTGGTGATTCCCAAATATAATTTCAGAGTAAATTGACCTTTTGGACCTCCATCAAGTACCACATGTAAACAGAGTGTTTTGGGGCAACATTCAACTGCAGAATGATCATGCTGTTGCATATTCTAGTGGCATCGTGTTGGATTACATCAAGGCAGGCAATATGGACCAGCTACCATGGGCACAAAAGTCAGCCAATCAGGCTAATGCAGAGCAAATGTGGGACGACCTTGGTAATGAGATTCGTGACTTGGACCCCCACCTCAAAATTTAGACACGTTACCAGTTACACACTGCCCAGATTGAGGAACTGGGCCTTATTTCACTTAGAAAGGTCAGATGTTTCATTCAATGATGGTCCGGTAGGGTTGATAATCTAATTGCAGCACAAAGAGGGCATAACGCATATTATTACCACCTTGCCGGGCCAGTTCTAGGGGTTTTAGTGCTAGTTGAGAAGGCATTCATTTTACTATATCGACCTGAGAAATATGTGACGTCATAGTGGTGGTCTATATGGACCGGTCTAGAATATATTCTGCGAGCAATATAGTGAAATATTGGACCTTGGGCCTTCGGCCCTCGGTCCAATATTTCACTATATTGCCCTTAGAAATGACGTTATTGTACTATTAGTGCTATTGGATAGAGGACACTTCAATCTTCATGACCAGATGTTTATTTTGTTTGATCTGTTTTACATGACGATTTGGATCGGGGTGTTTTGAAAATGCAAAAAATTCTTGGTGCACCTCTGTTTAAATAACAGTAATTTTCTAAACTTAAATGTGAATATTTTTTCTCTAAAAAATGTTGATTTGTAGATGAAATATGTGGTTATGATTTGCCTAGAAAATAAATGTCTGAACCAACTACAAATAAATGTTCTCTTACTCCAAACTTTGAATTCTGAGCTGCCAAATCTAATATTCCATATTTATGAGCAACAGTGCAGTTTACTTTGTGAACATTAAAGTTACAGACCTGCAAATCCATTTTTGAAAATCATTTCGCCTCCTGTGTTATTTCAATGGGAGAGGTTTCTTGAAAACCTATAACTTTTTGAATGTAAAGAAAGATATTAATTTTCAAAATTCTTTTTTTAACACATTATGCAAATACGAATCAAACATAAAGAGGCCTGTTTAACATGTAATCCAATGGGGGAGTTAGGCTGTCAAACTTTTGGGGGAAGTGGAAATTGTATGTATAAATACAAAAAATGTGTTAAATTAAGGAATCCTAATGAAAGGGAGGGGTGTAAAAAATAGAATCCCTTGTCACCAAATCCTGCCTACGCCATTGACAAAGAACAAGACAATATTGCTCCAGGGTATAATAAGCCAGTCACTGCATGTTAATATTGAAGGCAATTATGATTCTTGATAATTGTACATAAATGAGTGTGGTATTGTTTCACTGAAAGGACAAAAATGTAAGAATCAAGTAATTGCAGCATTTATGCTTCACCCAGGTGAAAGTTGAGTTAAAGTTGAGTTCTAATTGGACCTCTAAGTTGAATGACGCAAATTCTCTCCAGTGAAAAAATATGTAAATTGCAATAATTAAGTAGGTTGAGCAAATTACAAAAAATATTCTATGCTTTGGAAGAACCAAATCAATATAACTAGATAATAGCAATGCCAAGGTGTAGCAAATCATATTAAACATCTCATGAGTATCAGACAACAATCCTAGAAATCATGTCTCAAAATGGCCACTTTAGATGCACATGTATTGCCAAAAGATAATGTAGTTCCACATGGTGGGCGAAAAAAGTCCACATTCTTTATTTTGAAAATATCTTCTTGAGCAGAGCTACTTTGTATCTAGGCATCAGCATATAAAATTTTAAAACCAAATCCATCGTGTATTATGCCATGAAAAATATATCAATGAAATAAACCTTGAACCAAATTCATCAACTAGTATTTGAGTTATCAAATATTAAGCTCTTCTATGAAAGATGTTGGCCATTTTGAAATTTAGTGGCCATCTTGAAAATGTCTTCTTTAGCAAAGCTCCTTTGTCCCTACTAGGCATGAACATATGCAAGTTCAACCAAATTCGTCAGTGTTGAAAAATGGCAGCCATTTTGAAATTCAGCTGCCAACTTGAAAATTCCTTCTCGAGCAGAGCTCCTGTGTCACTAGGCATCACATTTGAACCAAATCCATCCACTAGGATATATATACGTTATCAAACATTATGTTCTTCTAAGAAAAATAGCGGCCATTTTAAAATTCAGTTGCCAACTTAAAAATTCCTTGAAAAATCGTGGGCATTTTAAAATACAGCTGCCAACTTTAAAATTCCTTCTCGAGCAAAGAACCTGTGTCCCTAGGCATAATTTGAACCAAATCCATCCGAATGTGGGATAATTACAGTTTACCCCGGATAAACTACTAAACTACCCTAGATGACACACCATAATTGTAATAATGAGATATTTATCTTTAAGGTGGAACAAATGATGTAATGAAATCACCATGGTACTCTGGTATATAAGACCCGTATCTTACAATCTTGACATTATACATAGCAACAGAAGTATCAACAAGTATCTGACTCTACGACTTCAACTACTGAAGAGTGCTAACACAGATAATATGATGAAGCTGATTTTGAGTTTTGTGCATCTATATCTTTTGATGGACATGGCGGGAGGAGCAGTGTTAATGCATGTAGCAAGCGAAAATCTTAAAGATAAGCCAGAAAAGCAGCAAGATATCATTCTCACTGACATAGACTCTAAGTACATGCATGAGACATTTGTACCAAAGAAACTCATGAAAGCATCACAAGATGGCTCTAGGGAACATATGCCTCAGTTAAAAAAACTAATCAACAAATTTGATGATAACACTGAGAATCCAAAAGCTTCAATTGTAACAACGAGAGCGAGACGTAGCATCCATTCACGTCACCCTATACGCCATCGTAGACAATCAGGAATCTATATGTGGCATCCTTTGACAGGGGGTTTCTATTTGTTTGGTTTTGATGAAGCTGCATATAGAAGCGATGACAATTCTAGAAGCAGAATCCCTCGATACGGCTAGATCAGCGGAGCTTAAGTGTATTAAAGTGAATATTACCGAGAGAGTAACCAGCTCCAAATCACAAACTTCATTTCTCAAAACAATCTCTTTGAAATTCTAATGGACATGCAAAAGATTTTTTGACAGGTGTATCAGTATAGCATCAAAATATCTGATTTTTACAGTTTGGTAATTGATTTTAACATCCAAATTGTATGTAAAATGTATATCAATAATATTGATATGTACTGGTCTTTGAAAAAAGTATACTGTACTTAACTATACAAAATAATAAAAATATTTTGATAATAATACAACAGAAATAAATCTTTTGTTTGATATCCTTATGCAATTTAGGGGAGGCATCAAAAGATCAATGTCTGATAGAAAACTAAATAAATCTAGTTTAGGGGGGAGGGGGTCAAAGCTATTTCAGTTTGCTATCCGACAAATTTCAACATTTGAATTTTTTTGCAATTTCGACTCGAAATGCCTTGGAATGGTTTGAAAATAAAGACTTTACCAGATGCCTTCTTCACCAAGATGCATGCAACATGGAATATTATGCCTATTGTTGATGGCACATGTTTTATGAATCATAAATAAGTTATAGTACTACCCCCAGGAAAGTCCAAATTGAGTCGCTAAAACATGTGAAAAGTCCGTGATCAACTTTCATTATATTTAGTTTTGAGGGGGAGGGGGGGGGTCCAGCTCAAAACTAGATTTATTTAGTTTCCTATCAGACATTGAACTTTTGATGCCTCCCCTTAATATTTTTGATAGTGTGTGACCCCTGATGTCCTGATGTCTTATTGAATTCTTATGCTAATATTCTTGCCCCCATGTTATTTAAATGGAAATTCTGATTTTGTCTAAATCTGGCAAATCCTTTTTGCCTGAAGCCAATCTTCTTTTAATGTTAACGATAATAGTGATAAATTCGCAATCAATGGTAATAGCCATAATTTCTTTTTTCACCATTTTTTGCTATGGAGTAAATGTTGCTAAGAACAGGGCCCAAGTGAAATTAACATTATTTTATAATATCAGACAATAATAGTGATAAATTTGTTTTTAGCGTTAATATAGTAAATTGAGGGTAAAATTTTGTGATAGGTACACACGAAGGAGGATTGGTCAAGCTGTTGTTCAAACTCGATACTCTGTTGCTCGGCATAGATCAATTTGGTAACAATTTTGATTACTAGAACTGCCAAGGAAGCTTGCATATTACCATAATATCTGTAATGTCAATCTTCCAATGAAATACTTGGTCCAAAGAGAACCCATCCTCCTAAGCAAGTGTCCAGAATCCGTACCTCCTTCTTCCCCCCTGCTATAACCAATTTGGAAGCGCCCGATTAAACTGAATCATGTGAACTTATTATGTGTAATGACTTATACATGATTTCTTTTTTTTCCGCAGTGTTTTATTCGCAGTGTTGCGACAGCCAATCAGATTGCGAGTTCTTAATAGGGGAAATGCTAACTGCTTATCGCAGGGGGTAAAAAGAAAGAATATATTCTGGATTTTGTCGGAGGTTGAAATATTTTACTAAATTGTTCCATGTAAGGCAATGAAATAGCGAGTTTGAATAATGGATTCCAATCCTCCTTGGGTACACACAGTCAAAAATGCATGCTACCATCTAGTAAGAGAAAAAAACGAAAGAAACAATGCGGCAGATGTCTTTTACGTACTTTGGTCATTTGAGACTGATTCCAACAAGGAATTCGACTGCAGAAAGTAATAAATTACCAAGATCAGGCTGATTATTCATAATTTCAGAAAATGTGTCAAATCTGCTGGAAATTCTGTGAGAATTGATCAAAATTTTTGTTTCTGCAAAAATGGAATTTTAGGGGGAGTATTACATCATTTAAACAGCTATGTATGAATTGACTAACCTTATCAGGTCTTTTGCTGACCTCTGCAATTTTTGTGATTGGTAGCGCCGATGTGTTGGAAGCAAATATACAATTTTCACCAATTTTCTGAAAACAAAACAAATCATAGTACTTTAATAAATATAAATTGTCCCTGTGATGAAATATTTGTCTGGTGCATATACTATCACATCTAGTTAAGAGAATGATTTCATAACATACTTTTTTACAAATTATATGTAAATCAGGATTTGGCTTGATTTATCCTAACCTGTTCTTTTGCTACATAAACAGAAAAAGTGAAGCTTTGTATCAGTCTATATTGTTTAAAGGATATAAAAGTGATAGAGAGAGTAAGAAGTTGGTAGCAGACTTTTCAAAAAGCATGTCATTTTCCTAATCCTAATTTCATTTTCTACTCTCTCAAAGTTTTGAAACATTAATAAATATTTTACAAACCAGCCAAAGATTGCTTTAGTTCTTAATCAGAAATCTTATTTTTCATTGCTATTGTTTATTTAAAATTTGTAATTAACTTACAGATTCTACTTCTTTCAAGACCTTGTGCTTAATATTGATGTCCTCAAACACTGCTTCAATCACCATATCAGCATGCTCAAAGCCATCATAATCGAGGGTTGGCTGCAGATTTGACATTATCATGTCTCGTTCAAATCTATAAACAAGAAGAGATAAGAACAATGATGGGGAGATAAGAGGATTAGGAAGGATGAGTATTTCGAATTTTTAATTCATAATGATTTCTAACTTTAGAAATGCAAATAAAGAGAAAATGGATAAACTACTGTTGAAATTGTACAGGTACTTACGTCGTGATTTTTCTTTTTTTGGCTTGTAAGTCGAAACCTTTCTGTATTTGATTCTGTCCCCTAGCAAGACCTGCCATGGCCATATCCTTGAGTATGACATTGTAACCCTTATCCATACTGACCTGGCATATACCAGCACCCATGAGTCCTGCTCCTAATACTGCTAGAGTTCTGAAGGTCAATTAGAAACACTTATTTTGTTGTAATTTAAGTTATTAGCAAATTTAATATGCCAGCAACAAAAAAAGTTTTACAAACAATTAAATGCTTCAAGAGTTATGTGGAGAAGTCATTCTACCTGAAAATTATCATTTAACACATAAGACAAAGATTTATTCAAAAAATTATTAAAGAAATTAATAAGGAGAGAAAATCCCCAATGTCCACTTCCAAAAGCTTACTTTGGTGGTTTTTCAGGATTGCCAAATCTGTTCTTCTTGCATTCTGTCTGACCATGGAACAGTCCTATCAAGGCCTTGCTCTCTGATGTCATTGCTAGTTCACCAAAATTCTGAAAAATTACATGCCGATTACTCAGATGCGAGTAGGTAGTTACCAATTTCGCCACCAGGTGGCTGCTGCGGGAGAAATAACATGGCAAGGTATTACAAAGTTCCCTTAAACTTGAATAATCATCAGTTTTAGTGGTTCACTTTTCATATTACCCTTATGCATCTGATAGTTATACAAATTAAAATATGCCAGTAAAAGAAGATATTATCTGCCAAACACAGCATACAGTCTATTATGTCATTTAACAATGAATACTTCAAGATAAAAAGGTTTTTTTGACACATGTTTTTCTTTAATTTTGATATTCAATCTCTTCCCAGTAGAACATACATCCAATATAATACTCTAAAAGTACAATCTACCTATATAGATTTAAATCGGCAATGTTTGTGTAAAGTTAGCACATGTCTAACAAAATTGTTAGTCTTAAGCCTCCAACCTGAAATTTTTTTTGAAATGTGAGTAGGCCTCAATGACATCTTAACTCACTAACCTTTGCCTCTGAGGCATAACCAGCAGCTTTCCCTTTCTCAATGCCTGCCCTTACACTCTACAAATTAAACCACAACATTAAGCAAATGAATAAAATGTTTGCTGAATATAATTAATCACATCACACTATGCTAAGCAATATAAATTATTATTTTTTTGTTGATGGGTTTGCACATCATCATCAGTCAGTGTTTTGAATGTTTGATTGTATTCAATAATATATCTAGGAAATAATGAAAATACAAATGAATAGTAAACCTTTATGGGAACTGTAAAGTTTAGTGTAGTGTAGTGAAATGAAGTGTGCTGTACTGTACAAGCATGTGTACTGTATAAGCCCAAGTTTACTTTTCAAATCAAACAATAATCAAAATTATATACTCTAGGAGTAGTACCAACCTCAATAATTTTCAATGGAGCAGGATATAATCCACTAGTTTGTTTCATCACTCCTGCAGTTGCTTTATTGAAAAAGAAGTCTCTGCCAACTTGATAGTCCATCATCTTGTTCATTATTTCTGAAACAAATCAATTAAACTATTGAACAAATCAATTAAACTATTGAACAAATCAATTAAACTATTGAACAAATCATTTAAAACCAATGAAAGTATTAAAGAGGTCACTTGAATAATTAAACAAAGCCTTTGTATTTGTTGAAATCACATTTAAGAAATAATTTTCTATTCAGCTACATGACTATATAATATGTGAAGAAGTGCTTCATTTCATCATTTGTATCCTTAATATAACATACACTATGAACAGCATGCTCCATATAGTAGCTCATAACATCAACCTGTATTTACTTACTATCTGTCAACCCTAGTTTCCTTGGAGACTTTTTGACTGATCCATCAGCGAGTCCACGTGCTGTCTGTATAGCCACTTCCTCTAGGTATTCTAGGGTGCGGGCTTGGGGAGATTTTATTCCAGGGCCTGTAAATCAAAGCAAGTCATACACGCACCATGGAGAATGGAGATATTGTGACCACAAATTCAAAAACTGTTATTCATAAAATAATAATCATTGATTGATTGGTGGATGTTTCTACTCAACAAAAGCAAGGGACATCAGTCGTTATATGTAAATAAGTACATGTACATGTAAATAAAGATGGGATTCCAATAAGTTATTCTAATGTATAGTCAAGTCAAATGTGAACATCAACTATAGTTAAGTAATGATAAGTGGTGGCTGGTCCTGAGTTCCCGGTATCCCATCAATTCTATGATACATACACCGGCTATATCATGATGCAAATTGTCCAAGGTTTTTAACTTCCCAAAATATATGCACTGAAAAATTTACGATTACTGGTACGATAATATATTACCTACCCAATGGAGATATAACTGCATCTACAAGGCCAATCTTCTTTGCCTTATCTGGTTTGAAGTTCTTGCCAGTAAGAACTGCTTCTAAGCCTGTAGCTATAGGGACCTAAATATATCATACAACAAAGTATCATTAATTGTGCTATTATTTGTATTGCATCATAGTATTCTGTTTCTGTAAGTGTACCAATGGCATACTATTTTATTACTAAGTTTATAAATGTATAGTACCATATTAGAAATACTGAATTTTGACTGGTTAAAGAGCAGGCACTAGTTGTGACTACTGACTCTGCAATGCCTTGCCTGGGGGGAAGTAGTTGGAAATATCATAATATTGTGAAATTAAATCAATGAATCGGAGGGACAATGCAGTAGAGTATCAAGTCATACAATAATGAACCAAGTAATGGAATCCTATTTGTATTCCCCCTATTGACCACTAACCATCTTAGGTATGCGCTGTGTACCACCAGCTCCAGGTAGAAGACCCAGCATTACTTCAGGACAACCTAGCACGGTCTTCATGCCTTGGACAGCTATCCTGTACTGACATGATATAGCCACTTCCAGGCCTCCCCCCAAGCATGAGCCCATGATGGCAGCCACCACTGGCTTGGTGCTGTTCTCTACAGCAGCTAACATCTCCTGGCCATCTCTAGACAATGTCTCAGCTTCTTCAGCAGTCTGGCATGCTTCAAGCATACTAAATACAGAGAATCAATGTTTGTAATGACATACACTTATATCTAATAAAATAAGATTCATTTAATACATACTCGAAGCAACGTTCAACATTGCTTCAGAATGATAATAGTGCTAGATAGAGTACGAGAAGGACACCAAACTTTCAAATCTTTATCTCAGCAAAATCTTAAATGAAGCTATCATCTTATTTTAGACTGTTGACACTGAATTAATTGATTAATTAATTTCTACATTTAAACCATTCATTCCATTGTCTATCTATCTAGTATCCACATATGACACATAGCTAAACCATTATAAAGAAATTTACAAGGTTTAAATTCAATCTCATCTTGATTCCAATTCTAACAACCATGGGATTATGATCCATCTGAGATTAGCATAAGTGAGCATGTATTACCAGACCGTATAATGCATATCCATGAAGAACTATGGAATAAATCTTATTCAGATATTATTTAGTCATTTCTGAACATAACATGTAATAGTATATGAATTTTGTTTTTGACCTACTTAATATCAGCGCCTGCAATAAAGCACTCTGGTTTTCCTGAGATGAGGATGGCACTCTTGACTTCTGGGTTGGCCCATACCTCCTTCATCACTTCCTTGAATTGCGTAGAAACCTCTGGTGACAATGTGTTCACCTATAGTGAAAAATGATTACCAATTTACAGTAGGTACATGATATGAGGAACAACATGTATTTCAAAATGTACATATGTATCATTTGCAGATATTGTGTCAGTTTGAATGAAAGAATTTTTTTTGTTTCATTTATTTATAACATTATTGAAATTATACAATTATAGAATTGCCGCCTAGCGCCAATTGCCATTACATGTATATAGGCTAGCATAAGAAGGATGGTTTCATACCTAAGAGCAAAACCCTGTTTCAACTAGATGCTGTCAATGTAAAGATGTACTTTTCAAAAAAATTGACAGATGAAAGGGGTTGATTGGTATAATAGACTAATGACAGTAATTGTTTTTGCAAGGAAAGACTGCATTATCATTTTTAGTATTCATGTATCATAAACATGTAATTATTCACCTTTCCATAAAGTCAGCTCATGAATATTATAATGAGCCGCTTAAAAATCTGTGACGTCAATGGGAGAAACTTTTTGCCCGCGAAAAACAAATGCAATTGAGTATACATGTAAATCCTCGGTTGATTGCTGTAAGTTTTACCTCTTCAAATGTGCAAATTATCAGTAAATTATTGACGGATTTTTTATTGAACGTCAAATTAACATTTATTTACGCCTTCTAAGCGATTTAAATATTAAATTTCTGTTCATAATGAGTAAATAAATTGAAGAGAATTACTCACGGTCATTTTTCAATCATAATGGGAACTGCATGTGAACAGGTGAAATTATCATAATCATTGGTTCACCAACATTATAACATGTCTCTCATGCATAAAAATATATAGATAGACAATCTATTTTAAGTTAATCTTCAGTTTCATTTGATGAATGACCTGTTCAAATTAAAAACATTTGCTCTTATTCATTTAATCATTGACTTCACTACTCCCATAATTCAATTAACTAATCACGATTACTTCCTATCTATTTCTACAAGTCATATATAAGATCGTATCTTGAAAATAGTATACATGAAAACATCGGAATATAGAATGTTTTTTATTCAGTGTAGAAACAGTCAATTTGTTAGAATATCTTGCTAAAGCAAAACTGTCAACATAGATCCAGCAGACCGTAGAATTTTTCTTAGCCAAAATGATGATGGATTTCTCGAAAATAATGAGAACGCTTAGAAAACAAACCTGAATATGCAGGGTGTCCTGAAAACTTCATTTGTGAAACCTCACTTGTCATAGGATAAATTAGTTATGTGATGATCGGTTTTGAATAATGATCACCGGAAAGATTTCAAAGAAAGAGCGTATATCTATAATATTTATTGATGATATGTTGACATTGCTGATCGTTATTGACATCGCTGATGGCGAATTAATACCAAAAGGTAACGATATCGTATATGTACTATGAACAAATTTCATTTGGTAAATAATAAAGTAATGGTTTAAGTCTAACTTCTAGGATAGAAAATTTTGCTTCGAAGTTATCTTTTTAATAGCCAATGGGCGTTCTCCAAGTTTGGAGGATGAAATGAAGGTTTTTTAATGAGGCCCAGTCGCGTTTAGCGAGAAACCCATTCTACGTTTTACTGAAATTGCAACTGGAAAAAGTTTCAATGATAAGAAAGTTAGTTTAGTCATGGGCTTTCATGATCTAGAAAGCCCATGGTTTAAGTTACCGTAACATATTCATGCATGCTTTTGAAAATATTTTGTTAATGTGTATTATGGAGATGGGATCGATCCTCCATAACAAAGTCAAACAAATCGTGTTTCAGTTCGATTGGTTTCGTTTGCGCGAATGTCACTCATGGTGAATTTCTGATGGAACTTCTTACTACGACATATAACCATTTAACAGAATATTGTATGACCACTATCAGATAATTAAACCGATCGTTGTTTGTAACTTCACAATTTACATTTTTTGTTTACAATCGCACGAGATATGTGAGCCCGGGTATGTGAAGCTGATCTCAGAAGTCTTAATAAACAATAGTTCTGTCAAAAAATGATTAATTTAAACTACATAAGGTTCGGAATCAAAGTGCCCCGTCCATATTTCTTATTTGATTAAAAATAATAAATGTGCATTTGGCAAATAGAATCCTTTTTATTGTAGTTTATTCAAAATATTCCTATGCTGGCTGTACTAATTCTTCAAAACTTTCTACCATTGACGTCATTGATTTGACTCATTTGCATACAACCAATCAGCGCGCCGGAAATTATCGATTTTCTTTACTTTGTGGAAAGGTGAATACTGCCATCTTTTAATTGATATATACAATATCATTCTAGCATTCTGGGATCAATGGTAATATTTTAGGACATAAATCTTACTTTTGATCCAGGGGCATCAAACCGGACCACTGCTACATCACCTTTCATCTCAAGGTTCACATGAGACCGTGCTGAAATATGTAGAACCATTAGTCAAATGGTGCATCATTAGACATTACATTAAATTACTGTATGTACTTATTTGTCAAATACATCTCAATAATACATATTCATTAAATAACCCAGATGCCAACAAGCATATTCATTAAATAACCCAGATGCCAACAGGTAGTTACCAGTTTCACCACAAGATGGCTAATTCGGGTCGGATAACAGATACAGAATATTGTAGAAAGTTCCCTTAAACTTGAATATTCACTTGAATATGTAATGATGTAAATAAAGACTACTACTACTACTTGCATTTAGTCTAAAGTGAGTTAGTGAGAAAATATTTCTCAACCAAATCATGTGTTGTTCTTGTTCTCAATGTCATTCAAAGGCATTAAGTTGATTAATTTTCAAACCTTCCTTACCTCCCATCATTGTAGATGATGTAGACAAAGCTTGTCTCTGCCAATGTCCTGAAACACACAATGAAGAAAATATAAACATAATTTATGAAAAATCTGTAAGTTTTGGAGAAAATGCTTCTTCATGACCTGGCTTGATTTTTCATCTTTAAATTGAGCTACCCAACCAAATTTAAAGTCATGAAATTGTATGACTTCATAGAAATAGCATAGCATAGCTGCATTATATGTAGTTGAAGAAACTTTAGATTCTAATTGTGTATGGTATAAACTTACATGTTCACATCTAGGGTTTTTCTTTTGAAAATAGACCCAGTAACTTCAAGGTAATTTTGAAAAAAAAACAAGACCTACTTCCGGCGATTTTTTCAAAACAGTACCCAGTTATAGGATTTTTCAAAAGTAAACCCAGTTCTGGAGATTTTTTCATCAAAATAGGACCCATATCTAGGAGTTTTTCTTCAAAATAGGACCCATATCTTGGGATTTTTCGGCGAAAAAGTGACCCACTTTAGCGGCACGTCCCCATATAGCCAATATATGGGAGAACCCCCCCCCCCCCCCCCCCCCCCCCCCGGAGCAGGGTCCATATCTTCTTAACGCTCATGCCGGCTCTAAGTGGTAATGTAAACGTTATATAATATGCACGCGCATGGTGATATTGACATCATGATAATACCCAGAATCGACTAATTACGGCATGAAACTGCCACGATGATCTTGATTTTAATGATCCCTGTCAGAAGATCATATACGGTGATATAGATTTCAAGATGATAAAATAAACTTTGTGGCCCTTACTCACTTTGAGAGCCATTTTAGATTTTGAAACTTATGGCTCTCCAACGGAGATATGGACAGCTGAATAATAGTGACCTTTGAAACACGATCTAAGTTGACCCGCAGCTTACTTTTGTTCTCTAACTATGTCATATATCATTATCATCCTTCCGTGCAAGTATTGGAGAGCTGAAGTACTTCCTTTTCATTCAAGACTTGTAATTGTTAGTCGAGTGAATGTTTTTTCTGCCAAATTGCAATATGATGTTTTCTGCTCGGACATTTTGGTAAATCTCTGAAGGTTGTCCGAACCTAACTCATTCTCAAAATTAATTTCGTTCGTTGCATATCTCGCCCCTAGCAAACCGCCATATTGGAAATGGGTCGAAAAAACATTCACTCAATAAACAATTTACAAGTCTTGATCGAAAAAACAGTATTGTAGTGCTCCAATACCTGAACGGACTGATGATACTGATGTAAGATTACTCACTTCGAGAGCCATGTTAGATTTTGAAACTTATGGCTCTCAAACGGGGAAGTGAACAGCTGATCAATAGTGACCTTTGAAATCGAATTAAGTCGATCCGCGGCTTACTGTTGGTCTCTAACTGTGTCTTACATCAGTATCATCAATCCGTGTAAGTATTAGAGCGCTGAAATACTTCTTTTTCGATCAAGAGTTGTAAATTGTTCATCGAGTGAAAGTTTTTTAGACCTATTTCCAATATGGCGGTTTGCTAGGAGCGAGATATGCAACGAACGAAATGAATTTTGAGAATTAGTTAGGTTCGGACAACCTCCGGAGATTTATGAAAATGTCCGAGCAGAAAACGCCATATTGGAATTTGGCAGTAAAAAGATTCACTCGACTAACAATTACAAGTCTTGATCGAAAAAGAAGTACTTCAGCGCTCCAATACTTACACGGATTGATGATACTGATGTAAGACACAGTTAGAGACCAAAAGTAAGCCGCGGATCGACTTAATTCGATTTCAAAGGTCACAATCATTCAGCTGTCCAAATGCTCCGTGGGAAAGCTATTATATCAAAATCCAAATAGCTTTCGCAGGAAGTAAATGTAAGACACAGTTAGAGATCAAAATTAAGCCGCGGATCTCATTATTCATGTTTTTAAGGTCACTATTATTCTGCTGTCCAAGTGTGCCTTGGGAAAGCTATTATATCAAAATCCACATAGCTTTCGCAGGAAGTAAGGTGGCACGTATTGCCCCATCGTCCTTACCCCGCTGTCCCCTAAAGTTAGCAAATTATGCAGATATGACATTCCTTATTTTATTACCACCGATCTGAATATCGCATCTTAAACCTCAGTTTTCGACATTGTAGTGTAAATACGGTATATGAAAACATGATATTCATTTGATTCCATAATCTCCTTGGCAATTCTGATTGACTTTGATAAATTGAGAAACACTGAAACTGGACGTTGACCGGCTGAAGTGATATCACATGTTGAAGGATTATTCAATAAAGTTGACAGAGTTTATTCAAACAAACCTGAAATTATGATTCGTAGATACTTAAGCTTTAACATTACCTTGTAAAGACGAAGCATTGTGTTTAGTTAAGTGCCTAAAAACACCGAGAATCCGTATGCCTGACATTCTGCTCGCTGCAAAAATTTCTGCCACCCTTGACCTATCGTAATATCTCGCTAAATCTCGATCAATATAAAACACTATTTTCCAGTTGGGAATGGGATAAATACACTAAATAAGCTCTATTTATGACATTTGAAGTATTATTCATCATATCAAGCATCAAGATTGTAATCATAGGTGATATATTTTGCTAAAATCATAGTTGAAAAATCTGTCACATGACACGTCGAGACTTCACGCCGGGTCAAGATGGCTGCCATTTGTAGATCTTCCCGATTTTTGACTTCATTTGAGGACAAATTGCGTATGTATTGACTAATGAATGATATTTTATTTATTGGATCTTAAATACGAGTGTTTAGAGCTTTGTTTCAAACACTTATTTGACTGTATTCGTTTGTACTTATCACACCACTCTAATCTGACATGTCTGAAATAATTTCACAATTTTCAGATTTGCACTTTGGCCGAGACCCAAGATCTGTTGCAAGACTTATGCCTGGCACAACTGTCACCATGTTATTTAGTGTTTTTAGTTGTCCAATGATCCTGCCATGACCGTGGTTATGTTATCGTGAAAGCCTGGTATAACCGTGACAATGCTGTATTATATTGCAGTGCTTGTCCGTGGTAATGTTGAAGCCTGATATGACCGTGACAATGGTTGCAAGCCTGCATAACCGTGGTATTGCTAAAGTTTGATATGACCGTGACAATGGTTGTAAGCCTCATAACCGTGGTAATGTAAAGCCTGATATGACCGTGACAATGGTTGCAAGGCCTGTCATGACCTTAGTAGTGTAAAGCCTGCTAATGTTAAAGCCTAATGTTAAAACCTGATTTGACCATGGCAATGGTTGCAAGCCTGTCATGACCTTGGCAAATTTAAACCGTGACAATGGTTGCAAGGCCTGTCATGACCGTAGTAATGTTAACCACAATATGACCATGACAATGGTTGTATTAAATTACCTTTATAGTAGCATAAAAATACTGTAAGGAAAAATTTCATCGTTTAACTACTTTAAATATGTAAATTTAGACTATTACTACTCTGACTCATAATTCATCTCCACAAACTATAATTCTAATCTCATTCAAGAACGTAAACATTGTCATGGTCAGGTCATAGACTTTAACATTACCACGGTCATGACAGGCCTTACAACCATTGCCACAGTCATTTAAGGCTTTAACATTACCATGGGCATGACAGACCTTGCAATATAACATAGCATTGTCACGGTTATACCAGACTTTCACGATAACACCATACGGTCATGGCAGGATCCTTGCGAAACACTTTATAACATGGTGACGGTTGTGCCAGGCATAAGTTTTGCAAATAGCATGTGCCTTGGCCTGTCTGCACATACACCCTTGGTGCATATCTGTCATTTTTTTACATATCCGTGTCTATGATATTGAGCTCTAGAGCTCAAAAAAATTTCTGGTATTTGCATGGGTTTTCAAGAAAAACCCCATGGTACTCGCAAATGCAAATTGTACATGAAAATTATGTTGCACGATGAATCATCATAAGCAGTGTACTGAGTGTAGATGGACATCAGTATTACATCCTAGAGCCTATGGGAAGGGTTGGGCCATGCAATGTTAAAGAGGATTTTTGAATAGGCGAGAAACGTGTAAACAAGTTCAGCAGCACTGTGCAGACATTCATGAAGTCACCCTTATTTATAGACATCACTTCGTCCATTGTATTTTGAATTATGAGACCCTGTGTGAAAAATTGCCATGTACATGAAATTCTACGGTATTTTAGACTTCTAATCTTTCATATATGGACGAGGGCATATAAGATAGGTCCGAAGGAATATCCTGGGCGTTAATAACAGAGAATACGGTAAACTGAAATCATTTCCATACTATATAGGGTACTCTTATATTTTCAGCATACTGTGCAAGATGTTTGAGTACCACATCCAGAACAGATGCTGCTGCAGGTGAGTGCCTTAGATTCATACTTGATTTCTATGATAACCTACGTAAAGATATTTAAACCTTCATTCTCAGAGACTTGTAATCTGTATTCCCAGAGATATTAATCTGTATTCTCAGATATTGTAACCTCAGAGATTATAACCTGTATTTTCAGGGACTGTTACCCAAATTCTCAGAGATTGTTGTAACCAGTATTCCCAGAGATTGTATTTGCTACATATACCTGTATTGCCAGAAATTGTAACCTGTATTCTCAGAGATTATAACCATTATTCCCAGAGATATGTAGGAGCACCTCCCTGTTTGAACAGTGAACAGTCATATTTGAAAAATTCACCTGTCTAATCTGAACACTTTTCATAAAATTTCTGATGTTTCATACAAAATTGCTCAAATTTTCTCATGATATCAAAACTTTGGGAAATAATCTTGAATGGTCTCATTCATAATGGGGCTTTCCAGCATGACTAGATTCATTTGGATCAAATTTTCAAATTTCTGGAATGCCATAAAGCTATGTGGTCAAAAGAACTATAAATATTTACCGAGGATGTGTTCACATTTCTTCAGAATGCAAAAACCTTGAAATGTGAACACCTCCTAATCTGAACGCTTTTATCCGGTCCCAATGGCGTTCGGATTAGACAGGTTTTACTGTAGTTGGAATGACCACCAGTTGTTGCTCGAACAGTAGCTTATCTGGATGGATATGATTTCAATAAACATTCAGATAAAGGTATAGCATTGCATAATCCTAAATTAAGCACTTTCCTCACATTCTTTAGAATTACATCCTTACTGTATCTATTTTCAAGAGCCTCTTTGTCCATCAATTCCTAAACCCTGTTTTTCAGAACTGAGCTCATATGTTCAGTGCAGTTGACATCTGGGCTAATTCTCTTATAGTCCACTTTCTGAAGATTTTACCTCTAACCAGTAACAGAGTACCAAATAAAGTACTGAAGTAGTAAACTTTGAAACGATGTAGCTTTTTTAATATAAAATTTTATTAAATCAATTTGATGAGTAACTCCAGAATTAAATTATCTTTCAAATGAGGTATGACAGGATATGTAACATTAATGACGTTTTGCTGTAGAGGGGATGCCATTGTTTTTTGACACCCTGCAGTAACCTGTATATCTCTGATAGATTATAAACCTGCATTTCCATATTTTGTTAACCTATATTGCCTTAGATTGTAACCTGTGTACTTCCAGATATTTGAAAAGTTTGCCTTTTATTAATGAACATAATGTTCAATTCTTATTATGACTTAATAAATTTGCAGGCAAGAGGAGTCTGGAGAAGAAAGGAGTGAAGAACATAGTGCTCGTTGAAGGTGTGAGGACACCTTTCCTCATGTCTGGAACGCAATATAAAAACCTCATGCCCCATGACCTCCAGAGAACAGCACTACAGTAAGTTGCTTGTCTTAACATGTGTTTTTATTTTACGTACATTTATACCTTATCTTTCATTAATGTAAGGGGATATCTCATTTATATCCTCCTTTGGATATGAAATATAAAATTCCCAAATAAAAATCAAACCTCAGATACGATTTTGCTTGAAAATAGTATAAACTGTAATATTGATATTCTGCACCAGAATATTGGTGAACCTAAAATTACTCTCATTATTTTGTTTTTAGAGGTCTCTTGAAAAGAACAGAGATTGATCCAGGTAGGATCCATTAATTTTATCTGTAGGAACATCATATTATTACATTAATTGAAAGAAGATTCAGTTAGATCAGATTAGATCAATAAAACAAACAAATGATGGAAGTGATGAATTTGAACAGAATTGACAATTGACCGATATCTTATACTTACAACTTTTTAGAGAAAGGCTCCATCCATCAGTACATCCATGCATACTTCCTCCACATGTGATTTAGTTGTTTTGTTGCTTGAAAGCAGATTATCAAAATGGCCCCCATTAAGTCAAGTTACTTTAAGACAAAATCAAAAAATAATAGAGCGATTTTGTGCATATTTGATATGTGAATACTCATAAGCATAGCACACTGTCTTATGCTGACACATTGACTAGCAGGCAGCCATTTTTCAAAATGTCCACCATTTATATGTTTGTGTTTGCACTTTTGTTGAAATTCCATATTTTTGCCTATTTAGATGCATATTACACTTTCTTGTGCAATATGAGCAACCATTTTGAAAATGGTGGGCATTTTTATGTGTTCTATTTAATTTTTTTGCTGTAACCAAAAAAGTTGTGTAGAAGTCGTAGAAAAGTAGTGTAGCAATTTCGTTTAGAAGTATATTACAGTGTTTAAAGACAAGTTTGCTTATAGGCGGCCATTCCCATTTTTATTATCCCATCGAACGAAGTTCAGAGGGATATAGGGAACGCCTCCGTCCGTCCATCCGTACGTCCGTCCGTCCGTCTGTCCGTCCGTCCGGGCAATAACTCAAATACCGTTGGCCCGATTTTGTTCATATTTTGTACACATATACCCTATGGGGGTAGGAGTTCTGCTCGACAGCGGATTTTCAAAATGGCCCCTCATTTCAAAATGGCGGCCATTTTAGTGCAGATTTTACAGTCGTTTAGGTGCAATATGTAAAACTGTAATAGCAATATGTTTTTAGTGTAAAAAAATTATAAAGGACATTGATAAAGCTACAAATGTAGATATTAAAAAAGCACATGGCAGCCATCTTGAAAAATGGCGGCCTTTACTCCTTATTTTACGATTTTTGCTGTAACTCGAAAAGTAGTGGAGCGATTTTGTTCATATTTGGTATATGAATACTATAAACATTGCACACTGTCTAAAGACACTTTTGGTAGAAGGCGGCCATTTTTCAAAATGGCCGCCATTTTAACGTATTTTACTATAACTCGAAAAGTAGTGGAGCGATTTTGTTCATATTTGGTATGTGAATACTATAAGCATGGCACACTGTCCTTTGACACTTTTGGTACAAGGCGGCCATTTTGAAAAAAAAATTTGAAAAATGGCCGCCATTTTAATGTATTTTACTATAACTCGAAAAGTAGTGGAGCAATTTTGTTCATATTTGGTATGTGAATACTATAAGCATGGCACACTGTCCTATGACACTTTTGGTAGAAGGTGGCCATTTTGAAAAATGGCCGCCTTTGTAACGTATTTTACTATAACTCGAAAAGTAGTGGAGCGATTTTGTTTATATTTGGTATGTGAATACTAAAAGCATGGCACACTGTCTAATGACACTTTAGGTAGTAGGCGGCCAATTTGAAAAATGGCCACCATTTTTACGTTTTTTACTATAACTTGAAAAGTAGTGAAGCGATTTTGATCATATTTGATATGTGAATACTCACGAGCCTTGCACACTGTCTCATGACACTTCAGATAGTAGGCGGCCATTTTAAAAAATGGCTGTCATTTTTACATTTTTTACTATAACTCAAAAGGTAGTGGAGCGATTTTGTTCATATTTGATATGTGAATACTCTAAGCATGGCACATTGTCTCATAAAACTTGGAGGTGTAGTCGGCCATTTTGAAAAATGGCCACCATTTTTATGTGTGTTATTTTACAAGTGCATGTGTGCGATTTTTCAAAAATTCTATAGGTGGCTACTTAAAAGCATATTATTTCTTCTGATGACAACTTGGCTAGTGAGCAACCATTTTGAAAATGGTGGCCTTTCTGGTGTGTTTTTATGATATTTGCTGTATATTTCGTTTGTAAAAATGCCAGCCATTTCTGTTCGATGGGATTCGCTACGCTTTGGCGTTGCCGTTGTTCTGGTTCTTTATTTGTAGTGTCATTATATTATGAAACATTATTTACATCATATGTTTTCTGTTCAGATGAAGTTGGTTACATAACAATTGGAACTGTCATACAGGAGGTGAAAACCAGCAATATTGCAAGAGAGGTAAATAAACATTTTATTCTATCCACCAACTACCCTGCCTCACACAATAACAAACAAAGTAACAACTTAAAAGTCGACTCAAGATTCTATATATAATTCTCTTTTTTAACAGGAAGACCACTTACCAATACAAGCCTTTTAAACGAATCAGAATTTTTGCAGTGTTTATAGTTTTCTCAAGAATAAGCTTCAGACTAAAAGCAATCAATCATTAATAAAAAACGTATAGGCCTACAGTGTGTAATGTTGTGTTGAAATATGAATAACAGAATTTGCACTGATAAAACCAAATGCATTTTTAGGCTGCATTAGGTGCTGGTTTCTCACAGTTCACACCTTCCCACACAGTGACCATGGCTTGTATTTCATCTAATGCAGCTATTACCACAGGTATGTTACCTAACTAATTAGTATTTGCATTGAGGTGTTTGAATTAAAGAGGTATTTTGAGATAAAAAAGATTTTATTGCATCCTTTTTTATTAGATTATCATTCTATCCTGGAGTGAAATGTTATTCAATTAGACATGTGAGGACACAAATTCTATTTAAAAATTAAAATGTATTGTGCTGTACTTAAAGGACAACTGAAATAGCTTTTCTCAACTTGCAGCTACAAAAATGCGGTTTTCTCCATTGTAAGTCCAACGTAGAGTTCTTGCGATAGCCATTATAAAATAAATGTTAGATAACTGCTAACGGTCATAAATAACGAAACAAAACTAACTGATCAATCAAATTGGCCCCCACGTGATAAGTAACGTCATATACAAAATATAGCTTTGGTTTGTTGGTTCCTTAGTAATCACAACGTCACGGCAACCATAGGATTGTAGTGTAAACCAAAACAAAACATTTAGGCATTATGACGTTATGGGCCACGTGGGGACCAGTGAGAGATCACGTGGGGGCCAATAACGTCACAACCAATTCGAATATTGCTTATTAAGCAGCTATAACGATCGTTAGAGTGAAATAGTTTTCGCACTACTGATGAGAAAACATGTCCAAATACATTTATCAAAAAATTATATTGATTCCTGTAAGTTAAAAATACCATTTCATATCTGCTTTAACATGTCCTAAACAGAATATTTATTTACTATAGGTATGGGTATGATAGCAACTGGCCATACGGATACTGTAGTGGCTGGTGGTGTAGAGTTTATGTCAGACGTCCCTATAAGGCACAGCCGAAAGATGAGGAAACTAATGCTTAGTATGAACAAGGCTAAGACACCAGGTGCCCGGCTAGGCCTAATAGGTCAAATGATGAGCCCCTCTGTCTGGAATCCAGAAGTATGTACACAGAACCAATGAATTATGTTTTTGCAAGCTAGGCCAAAGTTTATCTTCATTCTCATTTTCATAACCAGAAAAATTTGGAAGATTCTTTGATAGATGCTTTGGGCAGTGCAAAACCATTCACACCTATGCTGCTGTCACAAGAAAAATATTAAAAGTTGTGCACAAGTATACTCTGTTAAGATTTCAAGTTGTGAGTGGCATTTGTCTCATTGGATCCCATAGGAAGTCATTGAAATGATGTTTGTCTGTAGAGTCGTTTCTCAAAGTTGTACATCAACATGATTGATGTTGTTGTTCTAGTTACCAGCAGTTGCTGAGTTCTCCACTGGAGAGACCATGGGCCACTCTGCAGATAGGCTGTGTGCTGCATTCGCTGTCAGCAGAGATGAGCAGGACGCATTTGCCTTAAGGTCCCACCAGAATGCTGCCAAAGCTACCAAAGAAGGTTTACTGACTGATGTGCTCACATATAAAGTCCCAGGTGTTGCAGAGCCAGTTACTCAAGACAATGGTATTCGACCATCATCTATGGCAGCCATGGGCAAACTAAAAGCTGCCTTTATCAAACCACATGGAACAGTTACAGCTGCCAATGCATCATTCTTGGTAAGATTAATGATTCTCTTGGCTTGCTTAAACTATTTACAGATTTGAATATCTATGTTCAATTTAGTAAATAAAACATATTTAATTCATGCATGCAATTTTCAGAAATTCTGACTTTTAGAAGTATTTTATAAACTTTCCAATCACCTTGTAAATTTTTTAAACAATTATGTTTTAATTAGCTACATCCCCATCTAGAAATTCAATTTAAACAAAATTATTTTACTTAGGCTATATTTAGTGTATTCCTTTTTGGTTACAGACTGATGGTGCCTCTGCCTGTCTCATAATGTCTGAAGAGAAGGCGCTTGCCATGGGTTATAAACCAAAGGCATACCTGCGTGATTACCTCTATGTCTCTCAGGACCCTAAGGACCAGCTACTTCTTGGGTAACTAAGAATTGTGAAATACCTGTCTTGCATTATAAAGAACTTGTATAACCCCTTCCCCTTCTACATAAGTCTGAGATCATTCCCGGGAGATCATTATTCTATGTTCAGTAGTATACCTCAAAAATATCGACTCATATTTTATAAGCTTTGACGTTATTTTTTTTTGAAGAAAAGTTCTAGATTTTTTGTTATTAATTTTTTCAAATTAGGCTATTCAATAAAATATATCCAGCTGTTTTTTAGCTTTCAGATTTCAAAATTTATTGCTTTAAAATTATATTAAAAACTAAAAATGATGCAATTATATGCACACTCAATACGTAACATTGATTGATTCATTTCGATTCTGAATGAAAACTTAACCTCCCTATTTATGTTTACAGACCTGCTCATGCTACCCCCAGGATCTTGGAGAAAAATGGACTGACTATGGGAGATATTGATGTGTTTGAATACCATGAGGCTTTCGCAGTAAGTTCTTACAAAGCACATGTATTTCAAAGGACTGTCTTGTGTTTAGTGTTGCTCAAGCTCAAATCATTCATTTTAAGAAGGATATCTTGAAAAAGTGATAAATGAATATTACGAGTATATATCAGAGAAAAATAATTCATTCTTTTTGAATTAGGCTTCTGTGTGCATATAAATATCGTTGAACAAAAATGAAGTATTTCCAATTTGTTCGCTAAGAATAGATAATGCTTTGCAGTTATTGTGGAGGGCTAAGACTAGAATCAGTAAGTCCCTTCAGTTATCACTCTAAAATCTCTGAGCTCTAACTTTAATTCTCACAAACATTTGTTTGTGTAGTTGTACATGATGTCATACTTGTATATTGCAGGGACAGATCTTGGCCAACTTCAAGGCTCTCGACTCTGATTGGTACAGCAAGACCATGATGAAACGTTCCGGAAAATTTGGAGCTCCACCAATGGAGAAAGTGAACACCTGGGGTGGCTCCCTTTCTTTGGGCCATCCATTTGGGGCTACTGGCGTTAGGCTGGCCACCACAGCTGCTAACAGACTGAAGAAAGAAGGTGGTCAGATTGCTTTACTGGCAGCATGTGCTGCAGGAGGACAGGTCAGTGTGACCAATTTATTGAATATTTTCAAGACTTGAAACATGCCAGCTTAAAGAAAATGTCATCAGCATTTGAGATTAGTTTATACGTATCAAAAGGGAAAATTGTTTTGAGTTTGTGAAATGTACATTTAACATGATATCTTCAGGTCGCATATATTCAAAGTGAATTTAACTTTTTCTACCAGGATATAATGTATACTAAATGTTTTTAATAATTATATAATGTAAATATTTGTTTGTGATTAGTGTGATGTATTAATATCTTTGTGTTCCAGGGGCATGCAATGTTAGTGGAGGCTTATCCCAACAAATAAATTATTCCACAATCAATACCATACGACAAATAATCTAAAACAACCATGAGAGAACTTTCACTATTTAGGATATTTCATCATCAAGGCAGACATTCCTAGTTTAAAGCTTATAAAACATTACCCAGAAGAGAGGAGCATCTACATAAATAAAATTTTTCAATTTCTGTATCAACCTGTAGTTTATAAATTGGTTCAATCACAAATGAGACTCATATCTGGACAATCAATATTATAAACTTTAAAACGTCCGATCTGCAACTTCAATGCAATTTATATCAAAAGCTAAAGCGTAGTCATATAAATTTATGTTATGAGTCTTATTTTTTATTTCATTGTGATAAAAACCTGTACAAAGTGTATCATATAGTGAGGATTCATTATGTATAAAGGTTAAAATATAAAATGTATGAATTAATATTTATGTATATACAGTGCTATAAAATAAAATGCAAACATACACAGGATATCATGTGTTTTAAGGAATAACATTTAATCCATGATTGTTTGAACACAATCAATAATCTGACAAATGAGTTTTGATACATGTATGTTGACATAAGTGGATTAAAAGTATTACATTCTGAATAACTACAGGATTTCCTGATTATCCCATTATTGTTGTGGAAAGTTTATTCATCAATATTTTTGTTGTGTCATTGTTAATCCTATTGGTTTAGTGAAGACCACTTGAAAAAGCTTCATCAGGACTTTATCAGATGCAATAGCATCTATACTTTAAGTATGGACAGATTACTACAGTAGCAATAAACTCTTCCCAACAATAATTATGGGATGTTTACATTTTATATATACTTTAACACAATGATGTATTTCTTTTTCATTGCAATCAAGGAAGAGTAACTTCATTGTAATTTATTTTGTGATTCAGAATTGCCTGGTTGACATGTAAGTCAGTGTTCCAGGATATTTAATTTGATAAATGAATATTGATTTGTTTTGTCCAATTTGTGTTTACTTAATTAATCATCATCCTTTAAGTTGGTTTATATATGTCATTTATGTATGTCAAAGAAAACGGGTCGATGTTCATACGTTTTTTCTTTATATCTACTTGCAAAGTTGTTGTGACTTATTGAAACCTCTAATGATGCTAATAACAAATCAAAGATACGCCACATTATGGTTTTTCCTATTGAATCACTTCCAATTTTAATTTTTATATGAAAAACCTATAAATCAAAAGCAATGTTCCATGAGACTGTAAAAGTGTAAATTGCTTAGGGGTGGTGTCCAAATGTTAAAAAATGAAGTAAATTTTGTTACAGTTTAACTCTCCCTCCCCTTATGAAGAAACTTAAAAAAATGATTTGCTGTTCAATGGAATAACAACATTTTCACTATCAAAATCCTCATTTATCCCTTCCCCTTAATCAAAACTAACTTCATTTGGATACCTTCCCTTAAATAGTGCAAATGGAAATTAAAACAAGTAAATAGCATCATTGATTGACTAAGACTAATGAGCCGACCACTGATTAAACAAAACTAAACACTTTATTGGAGAATGCCTGTTCATTATTCACATTATAATTTTATTGTGGTTTCAATATCCAGAGATGTTAACATAGTCTAATTATTTCACCACCATAAAGTGGTGACATATTGTTATGGTCTCCGACGGTGGATGGCGGTTGGCGATTGACGTCTGAAACAAATTCTTACAACTTCCAATAACATAACAAATACTGACTTCAATTTTTTCAAAATCATCTACAAGTTTTCAGAAGTTCAAATCTGACTTTATATTTAAGATTTGACCTTCAATGACCTTTTCAAGGTCAAAAAGGTCTATTTCAACTTCCTTCAAATTGACCAAAATATTTTTTTCAATATCATCTTCAAATTCTCAAAAGTTCAAAACTGGCTATAGATTTGACCTTTAATGAAATTTTCAAGGTCAAAAAATATTTTATACTCAATGATCTTGTCAAGGTCAAAGAGGTCTTTTTCATCTTTCTTCAAATTGACCAATTTATTTTTTCAAAATCATATACATGTACAAGTTCTTAAAAGTTCAAATCTGAATTTAGATTTGAGGTTTCACCTTCAATGACCTTCTCAGGGTCAAAAAGGTACTGTAGATAGATACACTTATTTTGACGCTACTTAATTTGACAGATTTGCTCAATTTCAAATATTGGTGACTGTTTAATTTGGCGGATTCAGGACTGAAGTTTAATTTTTGTAGATGTTTATGTCATTAGGACAGGTGTTTACTAAGATATTTTCTTTATTTCTTTTGCAATAATGTAGAATTGATGACATGTTGACAGGAAAAGGGGCCCCGGAGTTTAATTTCTGAAGTGCATTGGACAAAAATTCCAAACTGAAATTTGACGGATTTTTAATTTGGTGGATTTTCTGAATCCGCCAATCTGTCAAATTCAAACAGGAGCCAAATTAAGTGTATCTACAGTATTTTTTCAACTTGCTTCAAATTGACCAATTTATTTTTTCAAAATCATGTACACGTTCTCAGAAATTCAAATCTTACTTAAGATTGAACTCATAATATTGTGAGCAACTGGGTGGTGACATTTTGTCATGTTAACTCCCATCAACTCCAGTTTTCATCAGGAGGGTCCTTTAAATATTTCAGTGAAGCATGCTCGAAATTTCTTTCCTACTGCAAGTTTAAGCAAAAATTCTCAAAAGCATATTTTTCACAAAAAGGCAAGTAAAACTTTTTCGGGTTTTGAGAGCATTTCACTTATACTTCTGCTGATATGAACTTCCGATGAGATTACATAGTTCAGTTAAGTTATTACCTATATAGGAGGACACTTCCATTCTTATATTAGTGGAGCTTTGTTATAAAGACTTGTGTGTACCTCATCACAATATTGACGTACATTTAATAGTGTGGTTATTTGTCAACTTTTGAAGGCCTTAAACATCATGGCTTTAGTAAACCTTGTAGGTTATTGATTACTAAGTTGTTATGCAAACTATTAAAGAAATAAGGTTTGGTATGGATATAGTGAAACATTTCATCAATCATTGGTGGTCAGTCATTCCTGAAGTATTCGGGTATAAAGCTCCAAAGAAAGTGAAGCAAAGGAGGTCTCAGAAATAAAGTACATGAAATCAGGTGTTGGTCTCAATTGGATTTTATGGAATTCTTGCAAGTATTTGGAATTTCAACTTATTGAAATGAAAAGGAAAACGAGGACTTTTTCAAACTAAACAATTTCATTTGAAGTTCATTTTTACTGTCACTTAGGTGTCAGGCTTCCATTTCCTTCCCCATAATGACGCCTCTTCCTTCTACTTGGGGAAATACATAATGGAGAAATCCAGTTTTCTCCAGTGTTTGTCCCGTCTCATTTTAGAGTAAAAGGAGTTCAACTGAGGATAACCCCTTATGAATAATCTCTGTAACTACAGTATATTGATTTTTGTTTTGTTTACCTTTTTTAAGGTAAAGAATGGCCTGATAAATGGTCGAAACAATGAGCAATTTATTGCCATTGTATTAATGAGCCCTTGCATCGTAATCAATGAAAAACACAATAGCTTTTGTGATCATTTAGAAAAGGACCTTGATGCAATTTTATTTAATCCCAAATCAATGTTTCCAATATATTCCAGGTGTTACATTTTTTACATATTTCGAAAACAATGGTTCTATACTACAGTGTATAGGGTACTGTTTATTATTAATTTCATCATTCAAGACATTTTTTATTGCACAATTGATTATTTGTGAGTTATGTTTTCCCAGGACCCAAGAAAAGAAAACATGGGACTAGAAGCTGATAGGTAGCTACCATTTATTTCACAACTCTCATAAAAGGCATCCTCCGAGCACATGGCTCCAGAACTCATTCTTCTCAATATTCTGAATCTTGGATGATATAAAAGGCCAAAAACTTAACATTTGAGAACATTATGATCATATTTGCAATAAAACCACAACCATCTGCATTGCCACACCATATCCCATAATTTACTACACCTCACCACATCACCTTCTTTGATTTTGCAGTTTAGATTTGGAGGCCTTACAATATCCAAGGAATTATTTTTTAGGAACTGTAGTTTTTTCCATCGGTGGTATGAAAACAAAATTTAAAAAATAGAAGTGACATTGCTAACTACAGCACCCCACCCCCCTCCCCCTCCCCCTTCCTTGACACAGTGCTGGATTGACATACTGTTGAACATAAAGCCTCGAGTTGATAAGTTTGTGGGTGGATAGTATCAATGTTCAGGTAGTTGTTAATTGCTGTATCAGGTGTGAAGGGGAGCTTATCAAGGATCATTTCAATATCTTTTCTAAAACTTATGCAAATATACTACCTTATTTAATCAGTCATATCTAATTTAAACTTTTACTGATATACACTGCACAAATATCTGATCATGAGGCACTGTGTTTAATATATATTGAAATGCATAGTCTAATAGTCTTTCAAATACATGTAGCACAATAGTAGCCTTACACCTCAGTAGCTAATATGGGGTCCGATGGGTGCAAATTGTTCAAAAGTCCTCCTTGGCATAACATTTTTAAAAAAATTCAGTATGACTCCTGTTGTAGTCGGCTATTGGTAAGAACAGGCCCCTAAATCAGAATAAATGGCAATATAGGAATGTTCTCCATGTCTCATATGGCTGAGAGGGAGAGGGGACAGACAGACAGACACTCCACTTCGAAAAATTAAAATATTACTATAAAGCTATATGACTTCTAAATATCACATAGAGGATTGAACACTTGCAAATTACAATAAAACCTCAGTGATTAGTGAACATCTATGTTAAGTGAGCACCACAGACATATTCTGCATGTACACTGCCTCCTGTATGAAATTCTCTCTCTTGTAAACACCTACCTTCAGTGAACACCTTTTGTTGCTCCATACATGTTCACTATATGCAGGTTTTATTGCATTATATTAATTTTATTTCGACATAACAAAAGAAACATTTTTCATATATACATTTACATAAAAATTTATTTCTCATATATAAAAATTTACTTATCATCCAGCAAAATGTCGCCTATTTGCAATTATTTTGCAGTTACATGTATAATATGGTATGTTTTATAGGTGTTTGGTTGTAAAAATGTAACAAACAATCTCATGGTGAATATTTAGCTTGTGGCAAATACTGTCAAGAATTATACAGTTTAATATACAGCATCAAGAAATAACTCAACCTAAGGCAATCCTCTGATTATTATGTGAGCATTTTGAGTCTGTGCATTAAACTGTATATACACATCTTTTGCTATGCATAGAAACTTACATTGTGAGAAAGACAACTGAGCCAACATCTCAATTCAATATAGATTGACTTAATGTTCTTACAAATATCACCTTATTTGTACCCTCAACACCTAGCACAGTGTATGTATTGGGCCACATATATCCAACCTAATTTAATGCGGCACTATTTCATGTATTTACCTTTGTAAAGTAGTTGCTCTTGTGTGGCAACCTAGAGGTTTAACAGTCTTAACACACACCACCAAGGTTTGTACCAAATTGAGGCAATCCTCTGTTTATTTACAAACTGTTTACTTGTGGCTGTGGTTAGACTGTTTTAAGGCACATGAATACAATAATGTTGAACACATACAGATGTTCACCCCCCTTCAAAAGATTGACAAGTCTGAATCTCAGATGCAAAGTATGTAAAAGTCCGTTTATGTTTGAAAGTAAATGTTTTTCTCAATAACAATATGTCAATATGTCACAAATTTATGACAGATTTGATGATTTTTTAAATCACCAAATTTAAACAGGCTTTACAGGTAATCCAATACGGGAGTTGAAATGCTTAACTTTTGTAGGGGGAGTGCACTTTCTATTTCTCACTCTCATCCATCATATATTTTAGAGCCATTTAAACATTGAAAATATGACACTTGGAACACATTATGACAGTTAGTTACCTAAAAAAGGCCCAAGCTAAAATTCTGCAAAAATTATACAGACATCAAAAACATGAAAAATCCCCAGCCCTTATACATTAGTACTATTTACAATAAGTTTATGAAAATGCAAAACTGCGCTATA